AGGTGGTGACTGGAGGTGGTGACTGGAGGTGCTGACTGGAGGAGGTGCTGACTGGAGGTGCTGACTGGAGGTGCTGACTGGAGGTGCTGACTGAAGGTGCTGAAAGGAGGTGCTGACTGGAGGTGCTGACTGGAGGTGCTGACTGGAGGTGCTGACTGGAGGTGCTGACTGGAGGAGGTGCTGACTGGAGGTGCTGACTGGGGGTGCTGACTGGAGGTGCTGACTGGAGGTGCTGACTGGAGGTGCTGACTGGAGGTGCTGACTGGAGGTGGTGACTGGAGGTGCTGACTGGAGGAGGTGCTGACTGGTGGTGCTGACTGGAGGTGCTGACTGGAGGTGCTGACTGGAGGTGCTGACTGGAGGTGCTGACTGGAGGTGGTGACTGGAGGTGGTGACTGGTGGTGCTGACTGGAGGAGGTGCTGACTGGAGGTGCTGACTGGAGGTGCTGACTGGAGGTGCTGACTGGAGGTGGTGACTGGAGATGCTGACTGGAGGTGCTGACTGGAGGTGGTGCTGACTGGAGGTGCTGACTGGAGGTGCTGACTGGAGGTGCTGACTGGAGGTGCTGACTGGAGGTGCTGACTGGAGGTGCTGACTGGAGGTGCTGACTGGAGGTGCTGAATGGAGGTGCTGACTGGAGGTGCTGACTGGAGGTGCTGACTGAAGGTGCTGACTGGAGGAGGTGCTGACTGGAGGTGCTGACTGGAGGTGCTGACTGGAGGTGCTGACTGAAGGTGCTGACTGGAGGTGCTGACTGGAGGTGGTGACTGGAGGTGGTGACTGGAGGTGCTGACTGGAGGAGGTGCTGACTGGAGGTGCTGACTGGAGGTGCTGACTGGAGGTGCTGACTGGAGGTGGTGACTGGAGATGCTGACTGGAGGTGCTGACTGGAGGTGGTGCTGACTGGAGGTGCTGACTGGAGGTGCTGACTGGAGGTGCTGACTGGAGGTGCTGACTGGAGGTGCTGACTGGAGGTGCTGACTGGAGGTGCTGACTGGAGGTGCTGAATGGAGGTGCTGACTGGAGGTGCTGACTGGAGGTGCTGACTGGAGGTGCTGACTGGAGGAGGTGCTGACTGGAGGTGCTGACTGGAGGTGCTGACTGGAGGAGGTGCTGACTGGAGGTGCTGACTGGAGGTGGTGCTGACTGGAGGTGCTGACTGGAGGTGCTGACTGGAGGTGCTGACTGGAGGTGCTGACTGGAGGTGCTGACTGGAGGTGCTGACTAAAGGTGCTGACTGAAGGTGCTGACTGGAGGTGCTGACTGGAGGTGCTGACTGGAGGTGCTGACTGGAGGAGCTGACTGGAGGTGCTGACTGGAGGTGCTGACTGGAGGTGCTGACTGAAGGTGCTGACTGGAGGTGCTGACTGGAGGTGCTGACTGGAGGTGCTGACTGGAGGTGCTGACTGGAGGTGCTGACTGGAGGAGGTGCTGACTGAAGGTGCTGACTGGAGGTGGTGACGGGAGGTGCTGACTGGAGGTGCTGACTGGAGGTGCTGACTGGAGGTGCTGACTTGAGGTGCTGACTGGAGGTGCTGACTGGAGGTGCTGACTGGAGGTGCTGACTGGAGGAGGTGCTGACTGGAGGAGGTGCTGACTGGATGTGCTGACTGGAGGAGGTGACTGGAGGTGGTGACTGGAGGTGCTGACTGGAGGTGCTGACTGGAGGTGCTGACTTGAGGTGCTGACTGGAGGTGCTGACTGGAGGTGCTGACTGGAGGTGCTGACTGGAGGAGGTGCTGACTGGAGGAGGTGCTGACTGGATGTGCTGACTGGAGGAGGTGACTGGAGGTGGTGACTGGAGGTGCTGACTGGAGGAGGTGCTGACTGGAGGTGCTGACTGGAGGAGGTGCTGACTGGAGGAGGTGCTGACTGGATGTGCTGACTGGAGGAGGTGCTGACTGGAGGTGCTGACTGGAGGTGCTGACTGGAGGTGCTGACTGGAGGTGCTGACTGGAGGTGCTGACTGGAGGTGCTGACTGGAGGAGGTGCTGACTGGAGGAGGTGCTGACTGGATGTGCTGACTGGAGGAGGTGCTGACTGGAGGTGCTGACTGGAGGTGCTGACTGGAGGTGCTGACTGAAGGTGCTGACTGGAGGTGCTGACTGGATGTGCTGACTGGAGGAGGTGCTGACTGGAGGTGCTGACTGGAGGTGCTGACTGGAGGTGCTGACTGGAGGTTCTGACTGGAGGAGCTGACTGGAGGTGCTGACTGGAGGTGCTGACTGGAGGTGCTGACTGGAGGTGCTGACTGGAGGTGCTGACTGGAGGTGCTGACTGGAGGTGCTGACTGGAGGTGCTGACTGGAGGTGCTGACTGGAGGTGCTGACTGGAGGTGCTGACTGGAGGTGCTGACTGGGGGTGCTGACTGGAGGTGCTGAATGGAGGTGCTGACTGGAGGTGCTGACTGGAGGTGCTGACTGAAGGTGCTGACTGGAGGTGCTGACTGGAGGTGCTGACTGGAGGTGCTGACTGGAGGTGCTGACTGGAGGTGCTGACTGGAGGTGCTGACTGGGGGTGCTGACTGGAGGTGCTGAATGGAGGTGCTGACTGGAGGTGCTGACTGGAGGTGCTGACTGGAGGTGCTGACTGGAGGTGCTGACTGGAGGAGGTGCTGACTGGAGGTGCTGACTGGAGGTGCTGACTGGAGGTGCTGACTGGAGGTGCTGACTGGAGGTGCTGACTGGAGGTGGTGCTGACTGGAGGTGGTGCTGACTGGAGGTGGTGACTGGAGGTGCTGACTGGAGGTGCTGACTGGAGGTGCGGACTGGAGGTGCTGACTGGAGGTGGTGACTGGAGGTGCTGACTGGAGGTGCTGACTGGGGGTGCTGACTGGAGGTGCTGAATGGAGGTGCTGACTGGAGGTGCTGACTGGAGGTGCTGAATGGAGGTGCTGACTGGAGGAGGTGCTGACTGGAGGAGGTGCTGACTGGAGGTGCTGACTGGAGGTGCTGACTGAAGGTGCTGACTGGAGGTGCTGACTGGAGGAGGTGCTGACTGGAGGAGGTGCTGACTGGAGGTGCTGACTGGAGGTGCTGACTGGAGGTGCTTACTGGAGGTGCTGACTGGAGGTGCTGACTGGAGGTGCTGACTGGAGGTGCTGACTGGAGGTGGTGACTGGAGGTGGTGACTGGAGGTGGTGACTGGAGGTGCTGACTGGAGGTGCTGACTGGAGGTGCTGACTGGAGGTGCTGACTGGAGGTGCTGACTGGAGGTGCTGACTGGAGGTGCTGACTGGAGGACGTGCTGACTGGAGGTGCTGACTGGAGGTGCTGACTGGAGGAGGTGCTGACTGGAGGTGCTGACTGGAGGTGCTGACTGGAGGTGCTGACAGGAGGTGCTGACTGAAGGTGCTGACTGGAGGAGGTGCTGACTGGAGGTGCTGACTGGAGGTGCTGACTGGAGGTGCTGACTGGAGGTGCTGACTGGAGGTGCTGACTGGAGGTGCTGACTGGAGGAGGTGCTGACTGGAGGTGCTGACTGGAGGTGCTGACTGGAGGTGCTGACTGGAGGTGCTGACTGGAGGTGCTGACTGGAGGTGCTGACTGGAGGTGGTGCTGAGAGGTGGTGCTGACAGGAGGTGGTGACTGGAGGTGCTGACTGGAGGTGCTGACTGGAGGTGCTGACTGGAGGTGCTGACTGGAGGTGCTGACTGGAGGTGCTGACTGGAGGTGCTGACTGGAGGTGCTGACTGGAGGTGCTGACTGGAGGTGCTGACTGGAGGTGCTGACTGGAGGTGCTGACTGGAGGTGCTGACTGGAGGTGCTGACTGGAGGTGCTGACTGGAGGTGCTGACTGGAGGTGCTGACTGGAGGAGGTGCTGACTGGAGGTGCTGACTGGAGGTGCTGACTGGAGGTGCTGACTGGAGGTGCTGACTGGAGGTGCTGACTGGAGGTGCTGACTGGAGGTGCTGACTGGAGGTGCTGACTGGAGGTGCTGACTGGAGGAGGTGCTGACTGGAGGAGGTGCTGACTGGAGGTGCTGACTGGAGGTGCTGACTGGAGGTGCTGACTGGAGGTGCTGACTGGAGGAGGTGCTGACTGGAGGTGCTGACTGGAGGTGCTGACTGGAGGTGCTGACTGGAGGTGCTGACTGGAGGTGGTGCTGACTGGAGGTGGTGACTGGAGGTGGTGACTGGAGGTGCTGACTGGAGGTGTTGACTGGAGGTGCCCAGGCAGGCACTACTCTACGTAGCCGTATCTTTATGCAAACACTCACTCACCTGCATGTTCCTATCAATGAGGATGTTGGCGGGCTTGATGTCGCGATGCACGATGCCAAAGCTGTGCAGATACTGCAACCCCTCCGCCACTCCGATCATCACATCCAAGCGCTGCAGCAGAGAGAGCGGCCGGGCGGCACCTGCAGCGGGGAAGAGGAGGAAGGAAGGAACAAAAATGACACACGGGGAAGAGGAGGAAAAGGCAGGGAGGTGCTGTGAGGTAGGCTGGGAGTCATTACCCAAACAAGCAAGCCTCACACAAGTCACCAAATTACCACAAAAGAGTAAACCAAGTATGCGCTTTTGTGCAAGTAAGGAGAACAAGAGAGGACAAGTGAGGAGAAAAGAGGCAGGACAAGAGAGGGCAAGGCAAGTAAGTAAGTAGTGAGTGAGTTGAACACACCAGGGCCGAGCCAGCGTTCGAGGTCGCCGTTGGGCATGAACTCGTAGATGAGGATCTGCTCCGTCTGCTCCGTGGCCTCATTCACATCAATGCAGAACCCCAGCAGGCGCACCAGGTGTGGGTGGTGCTTCGATGCCATCTCGTTCACCTGCATGTGCCCACGCAGGGCGGATGGCCAGGAGGAGGGAGGAGCGGGAGCGAGAGCGGGAGTGGGAGCGGGAGCGGGAGAAGGAAGCGTGGAGACGGAGCGGTAATGAGAGGTACCAGTACAGTACCAATGGCACAGAGACTGCAATTGCGATAATCTAGTAGCACAATAATTGCAATAAGAAGGCAACGTCCCCACCCCCCATCCCCCTTTTCAACCCCACTCTCACCCTCCCACCTTGGCACCCCTCCACCCAAACCCCAGCCTGCCCACCTCGCGGCGAAAGTCATTGGTGAGCACTTTGGAGCGCTTGACAGCCCAGGGCGTGGAGGGGTCGGCGGGGTCCTCAGCACGGTACACATCTCCGAACCCCCCGCTGCCGATCTTGCTGGCCTCCGCCCACATGCCCGTTGCCGCTGCCAGCACGTCCAGCCGGTACTGCCGACACACCGCCGGGCCCGCTGCGTGTGCTGGCCCCGAGGGACCCTTGGAGCCACTCGCGCTGCCTGAAAGGAGGGAGGGGGAGAGGAAAGGGTGTGACAGAGGGTTGTAGTTGTATGAGAGGAGTGAACGGAGGAGTTCTGAGGCGCGCGTTGAGCAGACTTGAACAATCTTGTTGGCCTCTGCCCACATGCCCGTTGCCGCTGTTGCCGCTGCCAGTACGTCCAGGCAGTACTGCTGACACTCTGCCGGCCCCCCCACGGCCCCTGCCGCTGCTGCCTGCCCCGATGGTCCCCTGGAGACACTCGCACTGCCTGGAGAGAGGGGAGAGGCGGAGAGGGGTTGGGGGGACAAGTGGATTCTCGAGAGTGACTCCCATATACCTTGAGGAACCCACCATTCAAAAGGACACTATCCCGACCATTGCTATTTACCTGAGGAACCAGCACCAGCAGCAGCAGCGGCGGCTGAGGCGGAGGCAGCAGCTGCAGCGGCAGCATCATTGTCAATCTGCGAGAACGGCTTTGGTGCCTTCCGCCAGTGGAGGAAGAGCAGCGGCACGAGAAGCAGCAGCGCGAGCACGGACACACCCGCCACTGCAATCCCCGCTATGGCCCCCACTGATAGCCCCGAGGAGGAAGGAGGAGGCGGGGGAGGGGGCGACGGAACGAAGGGAGGCGAGGTAGGAGGGGGAGGAGGGGGGGGAGATGGCTGAGGGGAAGGAGGAGGGGGTGTTGGTGAACGAGGGGGAGGAGAGATGGGGGGAGCGGGTGGTGGGGGTGAAGGGAGTGGTGGTGGTGGGGAGATTGCTGGAGGGGGGCTGACTGGTGGTGCTGGTGGTGGGAACTTGACCACATCTGCCATACAGCCAAGGGGAGGAAAATGTTGGGAGGGAGGGGGGGTTGGGGTGGGGAGGGACGAGAGGTGGGGGGTGTGGGGTGGGGTTTGACGAAAGAAAGGGACGCTGAGCACAGTTGCGAAGAGAAAAGGGAAGAGACATGTGCAGACGGGAGATGGAAGATGGGAGATGGGAGACGGGAGATGGAAGAGGGATGGGAGATGGGAGATGGGAGATGGGAGATGGGAGATGGGAGATGGGAGACGGGAGACGGGAGACGGGGGACGGGGGAAGGGAGATGGGAGATGGGAGATGGGAGATGGGGGATGGGAGATGGGAGATGGGAGATGGGAGATGGGAGATGGGAGATGGGAGATGGGAGATGGGAGATGGGAGATGGGAGATGGGGGATGGGAGATGGGAGATGGGAGATGGGGGATGGGAGATGGGAGATGGGAGATGGGAGATGGGAGATGGGAGATGGGAGATGGGGGATGGGAGATGGGGGATGGGGGATGGGAGATGGGAGATGGGGGATGGGAGATGGGAGATGGGAGATGGGAGATGGGAGATGGGAGATGGGAGATGGGAGATGGGAGATGGGAGATGGGAGATGGGAGATGGGGGATGGGAGATGGGAGATGGGAGATGGGGGATGGGAGATGGGAGATGGGAGATGGGAGATGGGAGATGGGAGATGGGGGATGGGAGATGGGAGATGGGAGATGGGGGATGGGAGATGGGGGATGGGAGATGGGAGATGGGAGATGGGAGATGGGAGATGGGAGATGGGAGATGGGGGATGGGAGATGGGAGATGGGGATGGGAGATGGGGGATGGGAGATGGGAGATGGGAGATGGGAGATGGGAGATGGGAGATGGGAGATGGGAGATGGGGGATGGGAGATGGGAGATGGGGGATGGGAGATGGGAGATGGGGGATGGGAGATGGGGGATGGGGGATGGGAGATGGGAGATGGGGGATGGGAGATGGGGGATGGGAGATGGGGGATGGGAGATGGGGGATGGGGGAGATGCGAGATCAGTCCCAGCCCACTCTGCACACAAACGAGCTGCACTTCAAAAGTGACTCACTCTGCAGGAAGCAGAAGATGCAGAAATCAGAGCACTTGGTACAGTACGGCACGATAATGCTGTTGCCCGTTGCCTCCATTGCTCCACACCACACACATGGCTCAATCTTCGTGAGACCGCATGGCTCGCTGACTCACTCACTCACTCACTCACCCACTCACTCATGTGCAGCCCTGCACGCTTCAAACCCACTTTGCAGAAGATCAGAGCACTTGGGTTTTGAGGCGGTTCAAAAGGGACTCACTCTGCAGGAAGCAGAAGATGCAGAAATCAGAGCACTTGGTGCAGTACGGCACGATAATGCTGTTGCCCGTTGCCTCCATCGCTCCACACTGCACCTTCTCACTTGGTGGACATGTTACCAGCCCTGGGGGGACCTGCGGCGTGTACTCTCTGAGAAGGGAGAGTGTGCGGGGGAGGAGGGGGAGGAGAAGGAGGAGGGGGAGGAGGAGGAGGAGGAGGAGCAGTTGGGGATAGAGCGGAGTGGGGAAACGAGAGGCGTCAGGCGGAACCGATTCTCAGAAGGAAGGGTGGAGAAGAGAAGGAGGCGAGAAAGGGAGAGGTGACAAGGGGAATAGCTGCGAGAAGAATAAGGCACTGACGAGATGCACATAGGGAGTGAACTACTGGTACGACGACCAATAGAACGATGGTAGAAAGGGCGAGAGAGAGAGTACAAATTACTGGTACAAGTGATGGTTTGTGGTGCGTACAGGAATTCGAGCTTGGTGAGGGCGATCATGGAGGCAGGTAGGTAGCCGGTGAGCATGTTCTGAGACACATTGCTGCCATGGCCCGTGCCGCACACAGGATGGATGGACGGTGGATGCACAGCGAGCGAGTGGCACCACCACGAGCAGCATTGCCGGCACCGTTGGCATGGTGGAGGAGGAGACGATGGGTGGGGCACGTCAACACACACACACACACGGCATTGTGGAAAAGGGGTGCGGGAAGTGGCGGATGAGATGGGAGGGAGATCGAGAGCAAGGACGCAGCATCTTTGAAAGACAAACAGGCATACAGGCACGTGCAGTGAGGGCATGGATGCAGCAGATGCTAGGCAAACAGGAGCCTGCTGAAGGCGAATGCAGGCATAGGGGAGAATCTTAAGAGCTGGGCCCAGGGGTGGGCTGTGGTGGCGTTTCTTTGCTGTGACGGTACTTGTCTCTTCTGGTGGGCTGGGGCTGTGGTGATGGCACTCACAAGGTGGTGAGGTTGACGAGGCTGCCTATGGTCGTTGGAATGGCTCCTGTCAACTTGTTGCTCGCAACACCGCTGCCGATGCACCGCATGCATCATGCCCCATGCCCCATCCCCCATGCCCCATACCCCATGCCCCATGCCCCATACCCCATGCCCCATGCCCCATACCCCATGCCCCATGCCCCATAACCCGTGCCCCGTGCCCCGTACCCCCGTGTCATCCAAAGGGACCACAGCAAAGAGGTGTGTCAGGGAACAAGACATAGCAGACATAGCAGGCATAGCAGGGGGTCTAGGAGGAGGCAGTGGGGACGAGGAGAGGCAGAAAGGGGAAGCGGTCAAGAGATGTCGAAGGGGCGACGGGGCAGGAAAAGAACAATGGCGGCGAGGGTTACAGGGGCTCCGGGGATGTGAATGATGGTGGGCGCCAGTGACCGCAGCGCCAGTGCATCGTGCATAGCACACGCATGCCTGTGGCTCACAGTCTTGACGCATGCACTGCATTGCAAGCATATGTGCATGGTGTGACTGACAAGTGGTTGAGAGAGCCTGTAGCAGCCCAGTGGCCGAGAGAACGGACCCTCGTGAACTGGTTATATTGTTGAGGCGGCTCACAAGTCACGAGGATGGGCATGGGCATGGGCATGGGCATGGGCAGGTGCATGGGCATGGGCAGGTGCATGGGCATGGGCATGGGCATGGGCATGGGCATGGGCATGGGCATGGGCAGGTGCATGGGTATGGGCATGGGCATGGGCATGGGCATGGGCATGGGCAGGTGCATGGGCATGGGCATGGGCAGGTGCATGGGCATGGGCATGGGCAGGTGCATGGGCATGGGCATGGGCATGGCATGACTAACAAGTGGTTGAGTGAACTGAGCTTCCAAATGTCACGGGGAACGGATCCCGTGAACTGGTTGTACTGAATGGCTCTGTGGGAGAAAGGGGTGCACGCATGGGCAGTGAGAGAGAAGGCGGCTTGTTGCTCGTCCTTATTGCTAGAGTTTTATCCAGGGAGGCGGACTGACTGACACAACATCACACAGCGTTACACAGAGTGACACAGCGTCACACAGCGTGACATGGCGCGATAGAGTGCGACAAAGTATGTAACACGGCATAGCTCACAGGTAAGGCAGCATGGGTGGCAGCATGGGTTGAAGCATGGGTGGCAATGGCAACGGGACTCACAGTTGCTGCAGGGCGGTGCAGCTGGTGAGAACATCCATAGTCCCATTCAGCTGATTCTGCCACATGTAGCTGCATGCGAGGAAGCAAGTGAGTCAGTGTGATAGCAGTCAGGCGAGCGGACGTTGGGGCATGGGGGAGGGGAAGGTGGGAAAGGGTGGGAAGGGGGAGATGGGGAAGGGTGGGGAGGGGGAGATGGGGAAGGGTGGGGAGGGGGGAAGATGGGGAAGGGTGAGGAGGGATGGAGGTTAAGGAGGGTGGGGGAACGTTAGGGAAGTAATCGAGAGGAAGAACAAAGTGCTTGATCACCTGTTGCGAGAATATGGAGTGAATCATGGGACGAGAGAGACAGGAAACGAAGGAAGATGGGCGAGGAGCAGAGAGGGGAGGAGAAGAGGGAGCAGGAGAAGAGGGAGCAGGAGCAACGCACAAGCCTTGCAAGTTGACGAGGTTGGAGAAGGAGGCAGGGATGGAGCCGGTGAGCTTGTTGCCGCCCAACTGACTGATGCACGTGGGGAGGAGCGAATGGTGACAGAAGCCGGTAGGTAGTGATAGGAGAAGATAGGAGGTGAGAAGAAGGTGGAGTGATGAGGGGTGCACGGTGGTCAAGGGAAATCAGGACGGACTTGCTTTGCATATGTTTGACTGAGTAATTGACCGAGACTGACGAGAATTGGACAGGAAAGCTGGCAGGAGGTGGCGTGGAGCGGAGCAATGGAGATGGACGAAAGATTGGAGTGACGAGAAGACGGAAGAGTTAAACCGTCCATGCTGTATCACCCAAACTTTTAAATGAAGGACCATTCCGAGAATAGGGAAACGTTACAGTGCATGGAAAAAGGGAGAACCATGCGAAGGGAAATAACTGCAAGCAAGGCAGTGGAGCTGAAAACAAGGCAATGGAGCTGGTCTTCCTTGGCGAGCTGCTGGCTGGCGTATATGATCGACGCCGAGGGGCCATGAGGTGACCAGGACTGAGGTGATTGTTTAGTCAACCTGACAGTCACTTGTGGAGGTGCGAGCTTACATGATGGTGAGGCGGCTGAGGCCACCCAGAGTGGCAGGGATGCTGCCCTCGAGGGCGTTCTCCCGCGCATAGCTGGTGGAGCCGTGGGCGGGGCCATGGGTGGGGCCATGGACAAGATGGGTGGGGGGGGGGGAACGAGGGAATCGTGGGGGGTTGAGTCATGCCGGGTTGAGTCGAATCCTGGGTAATGAGTGCTGTGCCCCCCGTGTTGCGTAGTGTGTGGTGGAGAGAGTTTCGAAATCCGTGTTGTATGTAGGCAAGCAATTCATGCTGCTGCTGTCTGTGTGTGCTGATCCATGGACTCACAGCGCCTGCAGATACTTCAGGTTGCCCAGACTCGAGTGCAGCTCGCCTGTCAGACCCATGTTGCCTGCCTCCCTGCCATGCCCCACGCCACATGGATGCCGCATGCCACATGGATGCCGCATAGCAGGGTATATTGGGGTATGCATGCCAATGGAGCAGTTAGGGTGTGTGTGCTCCCAAGTGGTGGTGAAGTGAGGGCAGGGCAGCATGTCGTAGGAAGCCCATTGCATGTCTGCTTGCTGCTACATGGATGGAGGACGGCACATGCAAAAAGAAACATGGCCCATGGCACATGGGCACATGGCACATGGCACATGCAGGTGGAGCAAGCAGAGGGACGGCTCACAGGTAATCGAGGTTGGACAGGGCACCAAACTGTGAGGGGAACGACCCAGTGAAGTAGTTGCGCCCTAACTCCCTGCTCATGCACAAGAGGGGGTAAGGGTGGGGACGGTATGCCATCATGATCCCTCTCTTCCAATGGTCTCAGCATTCCCCTCCCTCACCCCCCTCCCTATTCCCCATTCCCCATTCCCCATTCCCCATTCCCCACACCCCTTCAACTAGTCTGCGACCTGCGCTCCTAAGCCTACTTAGGCCCGCACTACATATGTTGGCGGCACGCTAACCATGCAATCATATGCATCACGGGTGCTTGAATTGAATGGGTACATGGGTGCAGCATGGCATACAGCACGGTGAGGGCCATGAGCCCATAGATGACAGGGGGAATGGAACCCGAGAATGAGTTGTTGTACAGGCTCCTGCCACGAGGAGACACACGGATAGAGGGAAACATGGATGCAGGTGCATGTGGGTCCATGCCAGTGCATGTTGGTGCACGTGAGTCCATGTGGGTGCATGTGGGTGCATGGAGGGGCAGGGGGGGAAGCAGGAGCAATAGAGGGTCTAAGGGATTCACGAGTCAAACTGTATGTCTGTACCCCCTGCTGGATTAATACAAAGGACCATTTGAGAGAGAGGGAAGAGAGAGAGGATTAGCCTCTCCCCTTCTCCCCTTTCAGTTGGTGCTGAAAATTTCGGTGTTTCGCTCGAGAGAGCGAGAGAGAGAGGATTAGCCTCTCCCCTTCTACCCTCTGCCCTCTGTTTCCAGCCTTCTGCCATGAGTACTTAAGGCCACGGTGGCCTCTTCATCTCTCATTCTTTCAGTTGGTGCTGAAAATTTCGGCGCTTCGCGCCGGCGCTACGCGCCGGCGCTCGCGTGCGCGGCCTCCGGCCGCGCGTTAGGGAACGACAAGAAGACAATAAGGATGATGGTCAACATGACAACAACAACAAGAACAACAAGCAAGGACTAGGCAACAAACAATGGAGCGGGTCTACACACGCGCAAAGGGGGCCCCTACATGCGGTCGGCCCCAAGCTCACCAAGCGTTTCGCGCGAGGTCAGCCACATCTGGTGGACCACTGACGCGATGGCGCCAACAACGTCAACTGGAGTTCCACGCGTTGCAACAAGCGTCCTCAGATCCAGGACCTTCACAGCCAACCGGTTGGCCGAGGCTACAACCGCGGAGGGCGCAACCGGCAGTGATGCGACATACGAGAATAGTGTTGACGCCGCCGCGTGACACTTTGCTCGCGGCCTCTGAGTGAATGTGCTCGGCGGGTTCACCGACATGGAGTCAAGGGACTCCACAAGGAGCATGGAGTCATGGGACTCCAGAAGGATCAACCCAAGACTCTGCAGGCACTCCGCCAGCGACCACAGGCGTGCTAGGGTCGCCGTGGGCACTTCCTTCATCGGCGGAGGAAGGGCGGACGACCGAGCTCGGCGGGAAGACACGGCTAGATCGCGAGGAGCAGGGAGAGGATGTGGCGGAGCGTACGGGGCCCACGGATCCCCGCCAGCAGCACCAACAAATCCACCTCCCGCAGGCAGCGGCCGATCTGAGCGCGCCGGGGAACCAACGGGGTTGTGCGGCAGAAGAGCAGCAAGAGGAGCGACGCGACCAGAGGGCGGAATGGACCGCGACGACGATGCAGCATTCGAACGGTGGAGAGCCTTCTCCACGCCGTCAAGCTTTTCCAACACACGCTCCATCTCGGACGGTACGGGACGCGCCGCACCACCACGTCCATATCCGCCTCGACGCCCACGACGACCTCGACCGCTTGCGTTCGAGCGCGCGGGCGACTGGGGGCGGGATGAGGCATGCTGACGGCGGCGTTCAGGGGATCGGCCCTTGCGACGAGGAGAGTCGAGCCGTTGGCGCTTTGCCGGACGAGGCGAACGAGGAGGCGAACGCGGGCGGGTGGTATGGTGAGCTGGCGATCGGTGGCGAGAGGGAGGACGAGCGGGCGAACGATGACGGCGGGATCGGTGGTCACGAGACTGGCTACGAGACACGACGCGACGAGGAGATCGCGGCGAACGATGCAGGCGCGGAGATCGTGACGATCGCGGCTCAAGGTGACGACCGCCACGGCGGCTCCCCTGCCTGTCGTCACGCGCCTCAGACGAACGACGGTGAGGCGATCGTGCCCGGGGCGCCGCAGCCTCTACGCCGGAGCGCACGACGGACGCCTGGCGGGCAGGCTCCTTCTGCGGCAGGGAATTTCCGCCACGTGGAGTCAGATCGCGCCGCAGATCCTCGAAGCGACGGCGTATCTGATCAGCAGATGCCAGCGGAGCAACGGGCACGCTCGCAGCGGGACGCGCGGGGGGGAGCGGACGGGGAGCAGAACCGCTCTCCGCGATGCGCTCCCGACCATGGCCGCCATCAGCAGACATTGGAGCGCGGGGAGGATGTCGCTCGCTCAGCAGGCGGTCGACGTGGCGGACGGGGAGCAGCGGGACGCGGACGACGGGCTAGCGGAGGAGGACCTGAGAATGTGTATCAACAATCGGGACGGAGAGCTTTAAACGAGCTGGAAGATGATAATGAGGAGACATCATCAGGCAGCAGCTTTGTACCTGCGGAATCCACAGACTCGACTTCTAGCTCTGAGTCTGTGGATGAACCCCAAACCCAGACTCCTGCTAGAGCAACCAGAGCAGCCCCAACTCACAGGGCGGGAGGATCCTCAGTTGCGAGATCCACACGGAGGGGACCCCCAACACCAACCCGAGCCGCATCGGGCAACATTGCAAACCCCCCACCCCCACCACCAATTTCCCACACTCCAACCCATTCCCGAGCCGCCCCACAATCTGCACCTGGCGGTAACCCCATCCCAACCCACGCGCGAGAGGAAAAATCCCCAGAAACACTCGCCAAGGACGACGTGCTATTCGCTGGGGTTGGAAGATGGGACCTGACGAAATTGCGCGACAGTCGCCACGCACCACTCTCCCGCCACCTCCCACCCGACCCTCGCAAACTTTTCGCCACCGCCCTGCTGGTACCTCTGCTGCGGTTGGCGAACGATCCAGACTCACACTCTGCTTGGGTCGTCCTCTTGTTCCTCGCACGACTCACACTTCGCCAGCTGTCACCCAGGCGTCCAGATTGGAAGGCAGTCAGCGCACGACTTAGCAAATTCATGTGTGGGGACTGGGATGAGCTGTACAAGGACACCGTGGACTCACTGACCCGTCCCCAGCCACCCAGACACCAGCCGGATGACATTGGGGTCATCGCGAGAGCTGAGGGGCTAGCTCGACGTGGCAGCCTGCGACGGGCCGTCATGGCCTTAGAGGCCACGCCAGTTTGCACGCCATCGCCGGCTGTGCTGGAGGCACTACGCGCCAAGCACCCACCTGCGCCCGCCTCCCCACCTGACTGGATATTTCCCACACCAGACCCTCACCTCTCGGCGCCTTACGAGGTCTTCTCCAAGGTTTTGGGTCGGTGTGAGATGGGAGTAGGAGCTGGGCCATCAGGAACAACATTCGAACACCTGCGGGACGCATCTCTGATCAACGCTTCAGTGGGGAAGCACCTGCATGCGCTAGTCAACACCATACTCACTGGAAAATTACCTCTCGCAATAGCCGAACTCCTCACCGCCTCTCGCCTGATTGCCCTTACCAAACCAGGAGGGGGGACGAGGCCGATAGCCATCGGCGAAAGCATCACTCGCCTCGCTGCCAAAACAACTCTTACCTTGACGGCGGGCGCCGCTCGAGATTTCTTCTTACCTCATCAATTCGGTGTAGCGGTTCCAGGGGGAGCAGAGGCGATCATCCACATCACGCGAACTTTTCTTACCGTCAACCCTGGAGCGCTCGTTCTGCAGGCCGACCTGGCGAACGCTTTCAATAGTGTTAACCGAGGGGCCATCGCGGAGTCGCTTCGAGGTTCGACGCTAGCTCCGCTACTGCCACTCGTGAAACTGTCATATGGCCACCCCTCTTCCCTATGCCTGGATGCCGGATTCTCGCACCCACCACTCTTGAGCGAAACCGGGGTGAGGCAGGGAGATCCCCTCGGCCCCTTGCTGTTTGCTGCCGCCATTCACCCCGCGTTGACAAGCACGGCACTTACCTTCCCGTCCGTGGTATGCCTGGCATACGCGGACGACGTCACTTTTCTTGGAGAAGCAGCGGCTTGTGCGGCGGCGTTTGGGCACTTCACAGGAAGCCTTGGGGAGATTGGGCTACAACACAACCCCGCTAAGTGTGCGGCATGGTCACAGGCAGGCCGTCAGTCAACACCCCTGCCGCAGGGCGTACCTTTCATTGATGACGGCGTGAAGGTGCTGGGCAGCTTCGTCGGCGGAAACGACGCAACTGCAGCGTTCCTACGCGACAGCCTTAACACAATGGGAGCCCCACTTCGCCTAATTGCGAGAATGGAGCCACAGCTGGCGTCTCTCCTGCTTACCAGATGCATCTCGCGGCGAGTCTCCTATGTCGCGCGCACCACTCCGCTCTCTCCCTTGCCAGTGGAGGAATGGTCGGACTGGGGCAAGGGATTGTTTGACACACTGTTGACGGCTTGCGGCATTCGACACTCACGGGGGGAGGCTGAGATAGCACGGACCTGGGCCCAAGCCTCACTCCCGATCTCACTTGGAGGCTTGGGTCTGACGGACCCGTCGGAGGAGGGTCGCGTAGGGTTCTTGGCGAGCTACACGCAGGCGCAGCATTTGCTCACCTCCATTGACGAGGCGGCGGTCGGCGCCTTGGCAGAAACACGGATCCAGATGGCGGGACCCTACCTCAACACGTCCCCGCTGTTTGACTGGTTGGAGAGGTGCGAGGAGATGTTGCCGGAGGACGGGAAGGAGCTGCTGCAGAGCGACCGCGCCAAACCCAAAGGCATCAAGCTGCAGCACGGGCTGGCAATCGCGGTCCACGGACGCCGCTACGCCGAGCAGGTCCAAACCACGCGCGACATGCCGCTCAACCCCCTTAGCGGGCACACGCAACGTATGCTCTCCCTCTCGGGGTATGGGGCAGGGGACTGGCTCAACGCGGTCCCCTTTAACAAGTCGCTGCGCCTGGCTCCAGATCACTTCGCCCACGCACTGCAGTTCCGAATGGGGCTTCCCTCCTCTGCACCTGGGGCTTGTGACTGCCGCAACAACACGGCAATCACAGACCGACGGCTGCCCAACCACCTTCTGCGCTGTGACACAGGGAAGGGGAGGACCAACACCCATAATGAGCTGCGGGATGAGTGCCTCCGGATGGCCAACGACGCGGACTTCATGACTCATGGAGAGACAACCGCATTCTGCCCCGTCACTAGGAAGAAGGCGGACATAGCAATCAGGGACAAGTCCTCGGGGGCGGTTTGGATTGGGGACGTGACAATCACGGACCCCATCAGCACCCGTGACCCCAACGCAGTCAAGGGCAGGGGGTGGGCAGCCCGTGAAGCGGCGGAGAAGAAGATCTCCGACTACGAAGGCTCAACGGCTTCGTGGGTCGGATTCTTCCCACTCGCCGTTGACACCTACGGCTGCCCTTGCGAGGAAGTGCCCCAATTCTTCAAGCTGTTAGCCGAGACCGCCGCCCGCAGGCTCTTCAACGCGGCCCCCTCATCCTACCAGGCTACGAAGCTGCTGCACCAGTTCCGCCAGAGGTGGTCCGTGGCGCTGCAGCGTGCTCAGTCGGTGAGCTTTATGGAGAAATGCAACTACGCGGCACAGGTGGAGAACCCACCTGCGGAGATGCCAGGCGAGGGCATGTCCCTTGGGGACTGCCTGGCCATCTTAGAGCCGGTGCTGGAGCTCCCTTAGACGGAGCAGAGGGGGAGGGGGGTGAGTGGGATGTGTGGGTTAGAAGATGATTTGTATGAGTAGCATCTCTATCCTTTGCATGTCTGTATTTGCTTGGATCTAATACACGGACCGCTTGGGAAGAGGGGGAAATGGAAAACACAACTGAATAATGAGCAGAGAAGTGGCCCAGGTGGCCTTTATATAGGGAAGAGACCACAGGGCAGAGGGCAGAGGGAGGAGGGCAAAGGTTAGGACCCCATTTCCCTCGCTCTCTCTCTCCGGCCAAAATGGAGAACACAACTGAATGCATCCATCCATGCATCAATGCATGCACGCGTGCGACTGACAGCTGCTTGAGGTCGGTGAGCGCGGAGATGGTGCTGGGAATAACGTCACCCAGTCGGTTCTGAGACACCGACCTGCCATGTGTGATGGCGGTGGTGGGCAGAGAGGTGGGAGTGGGAGTGTGGGAGTGCGAAATGAGGGTGGTGGGTGAGAGTGTGGGAGTGGCGAAATGAGGGTGGTGGGTGAGAGTGTGGGAGTGGCGAAATGAGGGTGGTGAGAGTGTGGGAGTGGCGAAATGAGGGTGGCGAGAGTGTGGGAGTGGCGAAATGAGGGTGGTGAGAGTGTGGGAGTGGCGAAATGAGGGTGGTGAGAGTGTGGGAGTGGCGAAATGAGGGTGGCGAGAGTGTGGGAGTGGCGAAATGAGGGTGGTGAGAGTGTGGGAGGGGTGGTGGTTGGCGAGAGTGATGGAGGTAAAAGAAGGGCACCGATGACGGGATAAAGTTGAGGAAAGTGTGAGAGAAGCAAGTTGAGAGGTAGATGGAGGAAATGAGGGCAATGAGGATAATGAGGACAATGAGGGCAATGAGGGCAATGAAGGCAATGAAGGCAATGAGGGCAATGAAGCGCAGGCTTACAGGTAAGTGAGCAAGGATAGTTTCCCAATAGCGGCAGGCAAGCCTCCTGAGAAGTTGTTGGCGGAGAGATCACTGCCGAGAGCGTCACGTGGAGAGAGCGGAAGGGAGGAAGCATGGTTGGGGCGAGTTAGATTTTGACTGCATGCTGGTCGGCCTGTGGCTTGGTGCTTGCATGCCTTGAAAGGGTAGGCGAAAGAGCGAGAAAGCACAAGGTTATTAACCAACCATGCATGCACTCTTGGACTGTAACACAGTTGCACTCTGAAGAGACTGTGTGACTGGCATGGTGAGCCAGCCCAAGCTTAAGATATGTGGGACTTGTGCGATGGGTGGGGTTTGGCTCTTGTGGCCAGTGGGTGAGGTGCAGCTCGGTGTAGTCTCGTGTACGGCGATATTTGAGGCGCCTCACACATCACCTCAATGCATATAGTCTCGACTCGAGTACTGCGGTGTTGTGTTGTGTAATGTGGTGTGCTGGGTCTCGGTGGGGTAGCTCACAGGTATTGGAGTGAGAGAAGGTTGCCGATGGTGTCTGGAATGGAACCACTCAGAATGTTGTTGTACAGGCCTCTGTTGGGTTCATGCATGCACACACAGGCACGCATGCACGCGCGGGCGCGCACACGCATGCACGCACGCACGCACGCACGCAGGCACGCACGCAAGCACACGCACACACACACAGACACACAGACACACACACACACACACACACACACACACACACACGCACACACGCACACGCGGCTGTTCACATGCGAGCAGCGAGCACAGCAGCACAGCACAGCACCTATGCACGAACTTTTGGAGAATTCTCAGAAGTGACGCAGATACAGACGGCATGGAGCGACATGCACACTCACATCTTGGAGAGGCGCGTTGCAGCTCCCACGGATGCTGGCAGGAACCCTGTGAGCGACTGCGACAAGAGGCCCCTGGCAGCCGTGCAGGGGCGGGTGGAGGTGTGGAGCGGGGGACAAGAGGAGGAAGGAGGGAGCGAGAGCGGGGATGAGGGATAAAAGAATGAAAGGGCGCAGGCGAGAAAGAATGGTGAGGTTGGATGCTACCATGCCTTCCCATGATGTGCCCACACGTTGGTGAGCATGCCATGCCATGCCCATGCTACGCCATGCCACACCATACGATGCCATGCCACACCATACCATACGATGCCATGCCATGCCATGCCATGCGCGCACATGGAGGTGAGCATGCCGTCCTGGTCGCATTTGACGAACACGGCCTCGCTGCAGTTGGCGGTGGCGTCCCATCCGCTCAGACTGCGCTTCCATGCCGCCTGGCACTCCGTCAGAAACGGCACTGCCGGGGGGGAGATGCGGGGAAGGGATGGAGGTGGGGTTGGGAAGGGGGCGGGGGGAAGGTACAATTCTTGTTTTTACGGATCGCCGGGTATAAGACGGTGCATTCTACGATGCCCAGATTTTGACGAAGAGAAGCAGGTGGGCTGCGGAGGCCTTACTTCAGCAGTCCATTATATATTAATCCATGGCACGGGCTGCGGAGGCCGGGTATCATAAGATGGTGCATTGCATTCCATGATGCCACACGGCATAGTAGCAACAACCTAGAAAGCGCGTGCACCAACAACTAACACCATCGTATACGCGCGTGTAAGCTCTACTCCTATCCTGGCCGGACTAGAACCAACGACGACTAAGGCGCGCGCGAGGAACGCGGCCCGGCGCACTCACGCTGCGACTTGGCCCAGAGCTGAGCGCGCGCTAGTAGTGGCGGCAACGGGGAGAGCAAAAATGCGGGCGACAGAATCAGCGCGGCGGCGTTTGAGGCGCCTCAAGAGTCACTCACGCTGCGACTTGGCCCAGAGCTGCGCGCGTGCGAGTGGCGGGGAGCGCACACATGCGGGTGATAGAACCAGCGCGGCGACGACGGCGGAGAGCAGGCGGAGATGGCTCAGCGGAACCATCCGCGGCTGGCGCGGCATGGGCGGCGGCGGCGGAGGAGGAGGCGGCGGCCTGGTGATATCACGCCGAATGTTGGTACAAAAGAAAGCGTACAAAACGTTACTTTTCTAATTCTAGTACCACACGTTGATGGAATATCGTTGCTCGGCGCGCAGCGGGTGCACTTGGGCGCTAGTAGCGGGGGAGGCTACAACGGAAGTGGGTCCGTCAGTCCGCGTGCAGGAGCACACACCCCTGTCAGGCCAACCAGGAATCTTGATGGAGTCTAGGGGCTGGGCTAACAGAAGTCAATGCATACTTGTGGACGACCTGTTTCCTTTTTACGAGGAGTCTTGGTCGGTACCAGTGCAGAATCCAGGGAGCTCGTTTTGTGGAAGGGAACGTTGGGTGCTGAAGGTGTGTTCACGCCTCCCGTTTCTGCGTCTCCCCATTGCGTTCCAAACTTTAATCGAAAGGTTTCGCTCCCCACCTGGAAGCACGGTAGTGTAAATAGAGAAAGCACACCTGCTCCCCACCTGGAAGCACGGTAGTGTAAATAGAGAAAGCACACCTGTCAAACACGTCTGATGGAAAAATATCCAGTCTTCGGTATGGCCCAAGTAAGGCGGGTAGATCCGTGGAGCCAGGGTCCAGCTTTGATGACCCTGATGACGTGGCAGGCAAGCGGTCATACTTGTCATTGTCATGCGTTGACTTGGCAGAGACTCTTTTTAAACCGGCCCTCTTGTCACAGGGAAGCCTTACGAACTGAAATACCGGTATAATGTTTTCAGCCCAACGGTGACGTAAAACTCAATCATACATAAACGTCAGTCCAGCCCCCATATTAAAGACCTGGGGGTCTTCAACTGCGGGGGGGTCTTATATCCAGGGGATTAGCTGGCTCAAGTGACTCTTCAAGAACTACCTCGTATAGTTGGTTCGGAATAAGCCATCCCTTGAAAAAACGAATCTAAAACCCTGCCTTGAAGACATTCCGACTAAGGCAATATTAGGGCCGCCTAAAAAATAGTATTCTACTGAGGCAGCACACACACACATTGCTACCAAAACACAGGATTTTGTGAACCCACTGCCCTTCATACAGGGCCACAACCCTCCTCATCACTCCCTCACTCACTGTGTTTCCTACTCTCTCCACCGCCTCCACTCGACCCTATTCTAATCGCATTCGCCACCTCCTCCTCCAGGCTGTGCCCCTGCTTGTCGTCAATCTCCCGGTCAATCCGCCTCGCCATACGGTTACGGGTGGCACCACACACCTCCTCGCGCAGAGCCTCCAATTCAGCGAGCACATTGATCAAGTTGGGGCGGTGAGCAGTGGGCATGGTGGTGCAGCTGAGAGCCAGGCGTGCCATGCGCAGGATAATTTCTGGTGGGGCTTCTAGTGCCGGGTCCTTGAAGGTCACTCCGTCGTTGGCTGCTATGAACGGTGCCACCTGGTGGGGGAGGGATGGGAGGTGGGAGGAGAGGGAGGGGAGAGGAGAGAAGAGGGAGGGGAGAGGAGAGGAGTGGGAGGGGAGAGGAGAGAAGCGGATGACGGTGAAGATTGCGCTTTGGGCGATAAGGACGAATGGGGATGAGTATGTGAGAGTCCAGGTGCGTGTTTGCACACGCATGCCCACAGAGATGGAAGGGAGTGAGAGAAAGTGCATCTGCAGGTACATGTGCTATCAAAATAAGAATAGAATCGATTGATTAGATAGGGGGGTACGTAATCTTAAATAGAACAAGCTAAAAAGAGTTGGGTGGGTAAGGTGTAACTAAGGGAATTCAAGAAGGATCCGTCCAAATCATGAAAACTCTGGATGGATAGAGTTTGATGAGCTTGGATAGGTTGAGGATGAAAAGCCTACACCCAACCCAACCCAAAGCCAAACTCACTAAAAGATATAACAAAATAGCTAAAGACTAACAAGCAAGATGCAGCCTTTTTCCAACATGTGCATGGATATGGGCATGGGCATAGAGATGAGCTGGACGATGGAATGAGCACGGAAAGAGCACCATGAGCATGGGCGTGTGCAAGAGGAGCATGGGCAAAGAGGCGAGGGGTGGTTGGCACGGACCCATTTTTTTAGGTTGATCTGGTTGTCTTCCGAGTTGTAAATAGCCTTGCGTGCCGTCAGGATCGTGAGCATCACCACTCCAAAGCTGAGAGGGGTGAGGGAGGCCCGGGAAGCATGGGAGACACGGGAGGCATGGGAGGTATGGAAGGAGTGGGAGGCACGGGATGCATGGGAAGGATGGGAGGGATGGGAGGCGTGGGAGGGATGGGAGAGAGACGAATGGATGGTACACAATTAGGAGACGGAAGAGCAGAGCAGGCACTGCAAAAAGGGCACCAAAACTCAACGATTCTCTTCACATAAAGTCCTTTCAACGATCAACTATGCCTGCAAGCGTCACCCTAGCCTGTACAAGTAGGCCAATAACACCGACCCGTGCACATCACCCATACCTATGCACATCACCCATCCCTGCACTCATCGTCATCACCTATGCACATCAGCCACAGGCGTGGCCTTCTGTGACTTGAAATAAGCCGGATCCACATAGCCCGGTGTGCCCATCACCCGCGTGGCTCCCACTGTCGTGCCCTCGCCCATCCTCACCAACCCGAAGTCGGCAATCTTGGCCTGCCGTGGATGGGACAAGCAGGCAACGAAGAAGCAACAAGAAGACAATAGAATCCAATGATACACACAGCTGTGTTTCTTTGTGTGCATATGTGCATGAAAGCCACATGCAGCAGGCATCAGCGAATCACATGTAGTTGTGTTGGTTGCCTGCCTGTGGCATGGCACTGAGTACAACTGCGTTGATGCAACGTAGCCAGGTAACTCTATGTGCTCACCTGCATGTTGCTATCCAACAGGATGTTGGCAGGCTTGATGTCGCGGTGCACGATGCCAAAGCTGTGCAGATACTGCAACCCCTCCGCCACTCCGATCATCACATCCAAGCGCTGCAGCAGAGAGAGCGGCTGTGCGGCAGCTGCAGCAGGGAAGGAAGGAACAAAGGTGTCAAATAGGAAAGAGGAGGGAAAGACAGGGAGTTATGGTGACGGATGGGCTGGGAGTATGTACCCGAACGAATGAGCCTCATGTTATTACCATTCACCATACGAGAGTGTGATGAGAATGTCAGAATCTCAGCCACTACACCACTAGGATAAAATGAATTATTAAGTAGCGAAAGAGTACGCCCATAACCTCTAAACTCTGAGCCTGTAACCCTTCCCTAAGATCAATCGGAGATCCCCAATGCAGGTTCTTTTATACCTCACCTTCACTGGGATGGCCTAGGACACGGCACGACGACAATGACACATGGGCGCCAGCATGCGCGCACATGGGGATTCGGACCCGAGACTTTTGTTATGATGCCATGTCAGAATTCCGGCCACTACACCACTGGGATAAATTGGTTTGTTATGAAGAGGGTGAGTGCGCGCATAACCCTCCAGGCTCTGAGCCTGTAACCCTTTCTTAGGATCAATCGGAGATCCTCAGTGCAGGTCTTATGACAGAGAAAGTGCTCGTGTGTGGAAGTGAGGAGGATACGCAATGCAACACACAAGAGGGCATGGTTCATTAGCAACACACCAAGTAAGCGAACAAGCATGAAACACACCGGGCCCGAGCCAGCGCTCAAGGTCGCCATTGGGCATGAACTCGTAGATGAGGATCTGCTCCGTCTGCTCCGTGGCCTCATTGTAATCAACGCAGAACCCCAGCAGCCGCACCAGATGTGGGTGGTGCTTCGATGCCATCTCGTTCACCTGCATGCAGATGTGCAGGGCGGATGGCGAGGAGGAGGGAGGTGTGGGGAAGCGTTTTGAGGTGTGCATGGCGACCTTGACAAGTGTTTTGAGGCGCCTCAAAACTTGAGGAGCGTCAATGAGATTTTATATGGAGTCCTCGAGAGGTGGTTGGGCCCAGGCGAGGACCGTTCATGAGGCACCATTCTCACTATTCATGAGCCTGCATCAGGAGGTCTGATCCCGCATTCCCACTTCCCGTCGTAGCTCCTTCAAAACATACATCGAGCAAGAAAGAGTCGCTCCACATACACACACACATCCCACTATTCCCACCTCGCGGCGGAAGTCATTGGTGAGCACTTTGGCGCGCTTGACAGCCCAGGGCGTGGAGGGGTCGGCGGGGTCGTGAGCGCGGTACACATCCCCGAACCCCCCGCTGCCGATCTTGTTCGCCTCCGCCCACATGCCCGTTGCCGCTGCCAGCACGTCCAGCCGGTACTGCCGACACACCGCCGGGCGCTCCACTGCCCCCGTCGCCCCTGCTACTGCTTGCCCTGAGGAATCCTTAGACCCACTCGCACTGCCTGAAAGAAGGGGTGGGAGAGAAGGGGTCGGGGAGAGAGGTAAGGGAGAGGGTAAGGAAGAGGGTAATTGAGAGGATAAGGGAGAGGGTAAGGAAGAGGGTAATTGAGAGGATAAGGGAGAGGGTAAGGAAGAGGGTAATTGAGAGGATAAGGAGAGGGTAAGGGAGAGGGGTGCGGGAGTGGGGTGCGGGAGAGAGGTAAGGGAGATGGTAAAGGAGAGGGGTGGAAGAGAGGGGAGTGGATGGAGGAATAATGAGGGAATGTTGATTCGACACAAACAATACACATACCATGGCAAACACTTGAGACATCTCAAAAGCAGACACACACGTCACCTTTTCCTGCCATTCAACCGCCTGTTGAGCAAACTCAGAAGCAGTCCTCATATTGCTGAGCCAACTCAGAAGAAGCCTCTCACATTTTGAGCCAATGCAGGCACCTCTCGAGGAAGAGAACCTTTTGAAACCGTGTGTTGAGCTGACTCAAACGAAGACACTTGTCCTACCAGTGACCAGCCCTATCTAACTGGGACACTTATCCACCAGTATCAGCTGCAGCAAGATGAATTTTGAGTCGACTCGGAACCCATCCAGCCTAAGCACTTTCGAGTCGACACAAGACTTGAGCTGTCCTGAACGACAATACTTGTTCTACCACACCTACCTGAGGAGGCACCACCCAGTGGCTGCAGCGGATGCAGCTGCTGCGGAAGTGGGGTGACTTTTCAGTCAACTATAAATTTTCCTCAAACGACGACAAGTGTCATACCAGTGACCAGCCCTACGTACCTGCACCAGCACCAGCAGCCGCCACAGCGGATGCAGCTGCAGCAGCATCATCCTCAATCTGCAACAGTGGCTTTGGTTGTTTCCGCCAGCGGAAGAAGAGCAGCGACAGCAGCAGCAGCAGCGCAAGCACAGAAACACCCGCCACGGCAATCCCCGCAATGGCCCCCACTGATAGCCCCGCGGAGGAAGGCGGAGGCGGGGGAGGGGGCGGAGAGGGCTGAGGGGAAGGAGGTGAGATAGTGGGAGTGGGTGGTGCGGGTGAGGGGAGTGATGGTGGTGGGAAGACTGCCGGAGGGAGGACGACTGGTGGCGATGGTGGTGGAGACTTAATCGAATCTACCAAGTAGCCAAAAAGAGGAAGGTGTTGGGGGGAAAGAAAGGGGGAGGTAGAGGGGGGTGGGGAGGCAAAAGGGGAGGGAGAAGGGGGAAGTTGTGTGGGTTTTAAAGGAGGAGCATGCGGTGAGTATGAGATGGAAGATGAGGGCAGGAGAGGCGCATGTGTTGTTGGCAAGTAGGGGAGGATGAATAAATGCTCTTGTACAGTGATGGGGCAAGGATTTTTTTTTAGGTGCCTAAACAGGCGTCCCTCCCATCACACGGTGAAAAGGAGAGCTGAGAAGCTGAGCATCAAAGCAAAGCGAAAGGGCAAGATACATGTGTGCAGACGGAAGATGGGAGACGCTTGAGGCAGGACCCAAGCAAAGCATGCTACGCCATGCCATGCCAATGACTCCTGCTCTGTCAACACGTGTGTATGGCCCTCTTTGTGAGTCCGCATGGCTCACTCACCGAATCACTCATGTGACCCAGAATTGCACACAAACCAGCGGCACGTGGCACACTCACTCAGCAGGCTGCAGTTTGTGCAGAATTCAGAACACTGCACACAGTACTGCAACTCGAGGTCGTTGCTCCTCACTTCTGCACACTGCTTTGTGTCACTCGGCGGGCATGTCAGCAGCCCTGGGGGGTCTTGTGTGAAGTAACTGAGAGAGGAGAGATGGATGGGGGGATGGGAGGAGGGGGAGGAGGAGAGAGAGGGAGGAGGAGGGAGGGGGGGAAGGAAAGGATGGGGAGGGAGTGAAGAGGCGAGAAGGTAGTAGTCGGGAAAGGAGAGGTGTCAGTCAAAATCGCTTTTCAGAATTCCGAAAAAGGGAGAAGGAAGCAAGCAAGAAAGGGAGAGGTGTCAAGGGGAATTGATGCCGAAATAATAAGGCCCAGAAAATGGAAGAAATGCATACGCAAGAGGGAAAGGGAAGAGGGCGTGGATTGGGTGGGTTGAGGTTTTGAGGTGGAGGAAGGGTAAGGTGCGCATAAACAAGTAAGCTTTCGATACATCTCAATCGAAAGAGAATAAGTAAGGCGCATAGTGCATGGTGCACAGAGCATGGTGCATGGTGCGTGTGCATGGTGCATGGTGAGTGGTGCATGGAGCATACAGGTCTTCAAGCTTGGTGAGGGCGATCATGGAGGCCGGTAGGTAGCCGGTGAGAGTGTTGTGAGAAACATTGCTGCCGTGGCCCGTGCCAAGGGTGGATGCACCAGCAGCAGCAGCATTGCCAGAAACATTGGCACGTCAAAAGAGATGATGGGCCGGGCGTGTTACAGGCAAGCAGGAGATGATTATGATGGCGTTGAGGAGAAGAGACGGCGGAAGAGACGGTTGACATGAGAAGGAGAGCGAGAGCAAGGACGCAGAGTGTGTGACAGGCAAGCAGGCATGCAAACATGCAAACTTGCAGACATGCAGACATGCAGAAAGATTGGCAGTGTGGACAAGGAGGGGATAGAAGGAAAAAGCATGTATGCAATGAATGTTAGATGAACAGGTGCATGCATAGAGGGAGGCACTGACAAGGTGGTGAGTTCGACGAGCTCGCCTACTGATGCTGGAATGGCTCCGGTCAGCTTGTTGCTCGATACATCGCTGCCATTGCACCGCGTGACACAATGCCCATGCCCCACGCCCCACGCCCCATGCCCCATGCCCCATCCCCATGCCCCCCATAAACCCAAACCCACGCCCCATGTCCCATGCCCCCCATGGCCCAAGTCCCACGCCCCATGCCCCAATCCCCATGCCTCATGCCCCATACCCCATGCCATGCAGAGCTTCAAGCCAGACTTGCAAGAACCCGTGGCAAGACGGCGTGTAAGAGGCAGTGAGGGAGAGGAGAGGCAGCACAGGCATGCACTCAAGGGTGTCGAAGGGGCGATGGGACAAGAAAAGGGCAATGGTGGCGAGGGATGCAGTAGATGCATCCACCAGGGGTGTGAATGATGGTGGGTGCCAGAGCCTTGAGCACACGCATGGCTGTGGCCCACACAATTGGCATGTGCATGGCAGGTATGTGCATGGCAGGTATGTGCATGGCAGGTATGTGCATGGCAGGTATGTGCATGGCAGGTATGTGCATGGCAGGCATGTGCATGGCAGGTATGTGCATGGCAGGCATGTGCATGGCATGCATGTGCATGGCAGGCATGTGCATGGCAGGCATGTGCATGGCAGGCATGTGCATGGCAGGCATGTGCATGGCAGGCATGTGCATGGCAGGCATGTGCATGGCAGGCATGTGCATGGCAGGCATGTGCATGGCAGGCATGTGCATGGCAGGCATGTGCATGGCAGGCATGTGCATGGCAGGCATGTGCATGGCAGGCATGTGCATGGCAGGCATGTGCATGGCAGGCATGTGCATGGCAGGCATGTGCATGGCAGGCATGTGCATGGCAGGCATGTGCATGGCAGGCATGTGCATGGCAGGTATGTGTGCATGTACGTCCACATATGTATGTGAATGTGAATGTATGTGTATGTGTAACTGTTCATGCAGGTGCATGAGCATGGGCATGGGCATGGGCATGGGCATGGGCATGGGCATGGGCATGGGCATGGGCATGGGCATGGGCATGGCGTTACTAACAAGTGGTTGAGCGAATCGAGCATCCAAATGTCACTATGAATGGATCCCGTGAACTGGTTGTACTGAATGGCTCTGCGGATTAAAAGGCGTGCATGCATGGGCAGTGAGAGAAAGGGGTGGTGCGTGGAGAGGGATGTGTGGCCAAGAACCTTATGCTCGCTCTTGTTGCTTCTGCCCTTTTAATAAAAGGCAGACCGATATTGAGAGCATGACACAGCGCGACACAGCACCATACAGCGGGGTCACATGGGTGGCAACAGGGGTGGCAGCATGACTCACATCTGCTCCAGGGAATAACAGTGGGTGAGAAAATCCAGAGACCCATTCAACTGATTCTGCCACAGATAGCTGCATGGGAGAGATCGGTTGAGACAGCAGTCGAGGCGATTGGATGTTGGGGCGAGGGGGAGGAGAAGGTGGGAAGGGTGGGGAGGGGTTGCAAGGGTGGGAAAGGGTAAGGGGGGTGAGGGAGTGGTAGGGAAGAAAACAAGAGGCAGCGTATAGTGTTTCATTGCCCTGCTGCTGAACAGGGAGTGATGCGATAAGAGACGAGAAGCAAAGGAGGATGGGGGAGGAGCAGGGCGGAGGAGCTGAGTGGGGAGGAGCAGAGTGGGAGGAGCAGAGTGGGAGGAGCAGAGAGCGGATGAGCACTAAGGGGAGGAGTAAAGAGGGGAGGAGTAGAGAGGGGAGGAGTAGAGAGGGGAGGAGTAGAGAGGGGAGGAGTAGAGAGGGGAGGAGCAGAGGGAGGAGAAGCGGCGGGAGGAGGAGCAGAGGTACGAGGAGCGGAGGGAGGAGGGGCAGAGGGAGGAGGGGCAGAGGGAGGAGGGGCAGAGGGAGGAGGGGCAGAGGGAGGAGGGGCAGAGGGAGGAGGGGCAGAGGGAGGAGGGGCAGAGGGAGGAGGGGCAGAGGGAGGAGGGGCAGAGGGAGCAGGAGCAACGCACAAGCCTTGCAAGTTGCCGAGGTTGGAGAAAGAATCCGGAATGGAGCCGGTGAGCTTGTTGCCGCCCAGCTGACTGATGCACGTGGAGGGAAGCGAGTGGTGCGAGGAGAGAGTAGGATTTGAGAGGTGAGAAGGGAAGAGAAGAATGTGGACTGAAGAGGAGTGCAAGCCAGTAAGGCAAGTCAGGATGGACTTGCTTTGCATGTTTGACTGAGGAGATGATTCTGAGAATTACAAAATGGGAGGAAAGCAGGCAGGAGTGTGTGGAGAGGGAGGAAAGACCGGAGTGACGAGAAGAGGGAATTAGTAAATGGGTAATAACTGCACGGAAATCGGCCTTTTTTATGCTCCTAGCCTACACGATGGAGATTGTTTTTCGTGGCGGCTCAGACTGAGGCGACTTCTAAGTCAATTCAACGGTCACCTTTGGTGCTGCTAGCTAGCGACGTTGCTTGTATCACTCTTGAAATATCTCAAAAGTGATACACGTCTACCGCTGCTAGCTTACATGATGGTGAGGCTGGTGAGGCGACCCAGAGTGGCAGGGATGCTGCCTTGGAGGGCGTTCTCCCGCGCATAGCTGGTGGGGCAATGGGCGGGGTGATGGATGGGGCAAAACAAAGGGATGGTGGTGGATTGAGTCATGGGTGGGGCCGAGTGTTGAGTAACGAGTTTGCTGCGTCCTGTGTATTGCGTTTTGTGTGATGTGATGTGATGTGATGTGATGTGTTGTGTGTTGCGAAATCTGAGTCATATGCGGTGAGATGGATGTAATACCTGGGGTTAGATGTACATGCCATTCTTGCATGTGGATATGGATGTTCTGTGTGTGTGCTACGTGTGCGCTGTGTGCTGCTCCCCCAACCCAACTCACAGCGCCTGCAGCTTCTTCAAGTTGCCCAGGCTCGAGTGCAGCTCGCCTGTCAGATTCAGGGAGCCTGCATCCCTGCCACATGCCAACGCACATGCCATTGCACGTGCCATATTGATTCCCAGCATGGTGGATTGTGTGGGGTGTGCATGCGCTCAAGTGCTGAAGCCACAGCAGGGCAGAGTCCTAGTAATCAAGGTATGAGGATAGAGGACAACACATGCACTAAGACACATGGCACGTGGGTGCGTGCATGGGCAAATGGGCACACGGCAGAGAGCATGCATGGTGCGGCCTCACAAGTACTCGAGGTTAACCAGGTCACTGAACTGTGACGGAAAGGACCCCGTGAAGTTGTTGAGCCCTAACCCCCTGCTCATGCACATTTGGGAGGGGCCGCACATGGCATAGCATGACATCATGGTCTCTCTCTCTTCCATCTACCCATCAGACCCCACATCTTACCCCCTTTCCCCCCTCTCTCCAGTTCGTCTTGTGACCCGCACTCCCAGGCCTACCAAGGCGGCACTGCTTATGATGCTTGTACCCTTTGCAGTCATATGCATCACGGATGCATTATGGGTGCGTGCATTAGAGCATGCGTGGGCGCATGCATGGGTGCGTGCATGGCATACAGCACGGTGAGCGCCTTGAGCCCATAGATGGCAGGGGGAATGGAACCCGAGAATGAATTATTGAACAAGTTCCTGCTGGGATGAGACACACAGATGAAGATGGCCGGCCGAACGGCAGACAGGTGGGCGGGAGGAAAAGAGGGTTGCAGAGAGGAAACAGGGACGCAGATGCACATTGGTGCGTTTGGGTGCACCGTGAATTTAGTGGGTTAATGTGAGTCTATGTGAATGCATGTGGGGGCTTCTGGGTGCTTCTGGGTGAATGTGGATGGACACACACGGGGAGGTGCAAAGAGTGAGAAGTGTAGAAAAAGCGCAAGGAAGAAGGAGAAGCAGAGGGGCAGGCGAGCGGGGCAGAGCGAGAGGGGCACGGCGAGAGGGGCACGGCGAGAGGGGCAGGGCGAGAGAGGGGCAGGGAGAAAGGCAGGAGGAAGAGAGAGGGGGAAGTGAGACGAGACAAGGTGCACTTCAGTGCGTGCTGGCAGACGCACACTGTTACTGTGCATCGATGCATGCTTCATTTGTTCCATGTGGGCATGCGACTGACAGCTGGTGGAGGTTGGTGAGGGTGGAGATGGTCTTGGAAATTTTGCCAACCAGTCGGTTCTGAGACACCGACCTGCCATGTGTGGTGGTGGTGGTGGTGGTGGTGGTGGTGGTGGTGGTGGTGGTGGTGGTGGTGGTGGTGGTGGTGGTGGTGGTGGTGGTGGTGGTGGTGGTGGTGGTGGTGGTGGTGGTGGTGGTGGTGGTGGTGGTGGTGGTGGTGGTGGTGGTGGTGGTGGTGGTGGTGGTAGGGGAGGACGGCAGGGATTAGGTCGGGAAGGTCTGGGAGTGTGAGAGGGGTGGTAGCTGGTGTGGTAGCGAGAGAGATGGAGATGGAATGGGGGGTGTGGATGGGAGGATGGAGTTGCAGAAAGAGTGAGAAGGCTGGGAGAAGCAAGCAGAGAGGCAGATGACTGGAGCAGGATCGAGCACATGCACACACTATTGGCCACCTGGAAGATGGAGGTCCGGTCGAGCACGGTCAAGCACGGTCAAGCATAACCAAACACAACCAAGCACCCTCAATCCAATCCAATGAAGCCAAGCAAGCCAGTGAAGCAGGGGTGTACAGGTAACTGAGCAGGGAGAGCTTCCCAATGGCGGAAGGCAAGCCTCCCGAGAAGTTGTTGACGGAGATATCACTGAGAGCACAACGTAGGGAGCATGGGTGGGGCGAGTTAATCCTTGAACTTAAGCTGGCCTGTCGTATGGTGCTCGCATACCTTGAAGGGTAGGCGATAGAATGAGGAAGCACAAGGATAGTGGGACGCTGATTTCTTTATTTCTGTGGGTGGCGCTTCATGAGTGCATGAATGCCCATACGTGCTCTCTTGCTCTCTTGCACTCTTGCACTCTTGCACTCTTGCTCTCTTGCTCTCTTGCACTCTTGCACTCTTGCACTCTTGCTCTCTTGCTCTCTTGCACTCTTGCACTCTTGCACTCTTGCTCTCTTGCACTCTTGCACTCTTGCACTCTTGCTCTCTTGCACTCTTGCACTCTTGCTCTCTTGCTCTCTTGCTCTCTTGCTCTCCTGCTCTCCTGTACTTTTGCTCTCTTGCATTCTTGCACTGTTTCACTGAGGTGATTTCAAGAAATTAAAAAAAACTGTGCAACTTAATGAGGGAGACACTGTGTGACTGGGATTTCCAGCAAGTAATATTGCCCTAGGAATTGTTCGTTGGGTGTACAGCTCGGTGTAATGAGGTGGGGTGCGGTGTAATGTGGTGTTGTGGCATGGTGTGGTGTGGTGTGTTCCGGTGGTGTGGCTCACAGGTATTCGAGTGAGAGAAGGTTGCCGATGGTGTCTGGAATGGAACCACTCAGAAGGTTGTTGTTTAAGCTCCTGTTGAATTCATGGACTCACCCGCACACGCATACGCACGCATAGTCACGTACGCACACACACCTGAGCATGCACATACACAGGGCTATTGCCGCGCACGTGAATGCAGTGAGCACGGCAGCACAGCACAGAACCTCTTGAGAATTCTCAGAAGTCACACGGATACAGGCGGCATGGAGCGACACAAGCACACTCACAGACTGGAGAGGCGTGTGGCAACTCCCACGGACGATGGCAGGAACCCTGTGAGCGACTCGAATACGAGGCCCCTGCAGGGGCAGATGTGTGGAAGGGAGGGGTGGAGAGCAACGAGAGGGGGAGGCGATGCTTGTGTCAGAACGGAGAATCCTCACAGTTGACACAAGCGCACCCTGTGAGTGACTGAGATATAAGAGACCCCTGGCGGCCATGCAGGTGCGGAGCGGAGAACAAGTGAGGAGGAAGGAGGGATCGAGATGGTAGATGAGGGATAGAAGAATGAAAGGGCGCAGGCGATAAGGAATGGTGGACGTTGGATACTACCATGCTTTCCCATGATGTGCCCCACATGGTGGTGAGCATGCCATGCCATGCGCTCGCATGTTGGTGCGGAGGATGCCATGCCATGCCATGCCATGCCACGCGCTCGAATTCTGATATTCTGATTGCGGACATCTTGCAGATCCCCGTCAGTACTTTTCGGATACATTTGGAGGCTTTTCCGCAACTTCTCAGCAGGAAACCCCTCCAAATGCATTTTTGGGCCAAAACCTTTTCCGAGATGCTTCGCGCACATGGAGGTGAGCATGCCGTCCTGGTCGCACCACACCAACTCGGCCTCGCTGCAGTTGGAGGTGGCATCCCATCCGCTCAGACTGCGATTCCATGCCGCCTGGCAATCCGTCAGAAACGGCACTGCCGGGGAGACGAGGGGGAAGGGGACGGCCGGAGGTCGGGGAGGGGGGCGGGAGAAGAAAGGGAGAACGGAAGAACGGTGGGATTTGAAGTTTGAAGGGACAGGGGGGAAGGTGAATTTCGTTTAACGACCCATTAAACGGCCGGGTATGTAATGGTTCACGATATGCGCTGTTGAGGCCGGGAATATGATGGTGCATTGCATTCCATGATCCACACAACATTAGTAGCAACAACCTAGAAAGCGCGTGTAAGCTCTGCGACTACCCCGGCCGTACTGGAAACCAACGACGACTAAAGGCGCGCACGAAGGCGGCCCGACGCACTCACGCTGCGACTTCACTCAGAACTGCGCGCCCGCTATTATACTAGAGGTGGCGGCGGGGTGCGCACACACGCGGGTCACCCCAAAATTCCAACCCAGGGGGGGTTGGTTTCAGGGTTCGAAGTCCAAAAAGCAAACTTGACGCACATCCCAAAAAAATGCGAGTTGGACCAGGTCTTCTCGCGAGCTTGTGGGGAGGGAGGGCAAGCATGCGAATGACAGAACCAGGCGGCGACGATTGAGGCGCCTCAAGAGTCTCTCACGCTGCGACTTGGCCCAGAGCTGCGCGCGCGCGAGTGGCGGGGAGCGAACACATGCGGGTGAGAGAACCAGCGCGGCAACAACGGCGGAGAGCAGGCGGAAATGGCTGAGCATAACCATCCGTTGCTGGCGCGCCATCGTCGGCGGCCGCGGCGGCCCTGCGATATTCCTGGTAAATGTCGCCGAATGCTGGGAAGTATAAGTAAGAAACCGCTACTTTTCTGGTACTACTATCGATGTCGTTGCTCGAAGCGCAGCGGGTACATTTGGGCGCTAGTAGCGGGGGAGGCTACGACGGAAGTGGGTCCGTCAGTCCGCGTGCAGGAGCACATGACACTCGTCTGTCAGGCCAACCAGGAATCTTGACGGAATTTAGCAGCTGGGGTAACAGAAGTCATTGCATACTTTTACTCCTACGAATGCAATCGTGGTGTGGTGTCATGAATGTCAATGTGCAGGCAGGATTCACGGAGCTTGTTTCATCGACAGCAACACTGCGGTTCACAGCACTTCGTGTTTCGCGGCTCAAAGCACAGTAAATACTCTTTCCACATGCGTCACACATACGATCGGAAATCGAAACGGGGCTTCGTTAGGCCCAAGAAAGGCACGTAGAGCTGGCAAGCAAGCAGTCAATGGTCACGAGGATACTTGTCCGAATGAGGCTCAATGGTTCTTTGTACGATCTAGAGCGGTCGTTTTACATATTAGGGTGGTTTAGAAGAAGATTTTGCAAATACGTAGTCCAGGGATTTGCCCTTTCCTACTTGCGTGTGTATGACCTGCCAGCAGTCAGTACTGTATCTATCACGTGCGTTAACTTGGAAGAAACTTCTGTTAGGGCGCTTGCGATCTTGCAAAATTTGTCTAAGTTCGAACTCTAACCGCTTTGCACCGTGGCTTCACGTTACTCAAATTTATCCTACCGTGTAAAACCTTTCTGAAAGTTTGAACTTTGGCAAAGTTCGACCCAGACCACACGCGCCCAGACTGGTCGTCATTATAGAAGGACATAGCAAACTAGAGTATCTAACAAAGCGTTTACGAAATACCGGTATGCTAAAAAAAACAGGCGGAACTCCCATTTGTCCTAAACACCACGTGTGGCTGTGTATCAACTGTGGTCGACGCAAAAAATCCTAAGAAAGGGAGGCTGCATGCAATAGCTATTGTTTAGCATGACTAGCGAGCTAGACTAACTGGCATGGAAGATAAACACGAAACAAAGGAAATTGAAGGCACATGCATAAACAGTTTCGAATGAGTTCATAACACATCCAGGATTAACAAGAAGTTAGCACCGACCAAATGTAAACTCTGGTAAGCTAAATCTGAATCACTGGTGAATTAGTTGAACGAACTACTTGACCGTTGACAGCAATCATTGCTTTGGAAGCTTCCTGCAGACACAAGGCATTACCACATAGAACAATTAACTTCCTCCCATGCCACAATTACCAGAAAACATCCATGGCACGGGGAACGAAAGGGAAGGCCGGGCCATATAAGCCAAACGAAACTGCAGACAAGCGGGGACAGCAAGCCAAGAAACTGGACGATTCAAGAAGCAAGACTCAAGAGGTATATCGATGCACGCACCAGAAAAGTGGCACTGATGGGTTTGCCACCAAAATAACGGTTGTGCAGTGCTGTGCGTGCTGCCGATGCTGCTGCCACCGTCTCAAACTGCACGTACACATGACCTTCACTGGCCCTGCACGTCTCACAGCAGTAAAAGCAGGGAACGGGGATTGCACAATGGAAGAGAAGCAGAAGGGAACACCCCAGAGTGCGTACAAGGGGGGGCGGGACAAGTAACAAAGGGGCTTGACCAGCCAAAGAGGCCAAGAAAAGGGCCCTTTCACTCGGTAAAAGGGTTATACCCTGGATATCTCAATCCGCTTTAATACCAGCTGTTTTCTTGGTATGCAGGGAGCCTCTGCATGCACCACAGTTGGCACACACAGACAGAGCATAAGCCATATAAACTTCTTATACGAAGGCGAGAAGAGGTGAAATGCTGCTCATGGCACGCACCAGAAAGAGCACTTTGCCTTAGAATGCCTTCGAACCAGCTGTGCAGACAGGCTTATCCTATCGTCCTACAAGAACCAGCCATCTGCAGCCGCCTTAGGAAAGAATTTGGTTCACTAACAATAGAAGATATAGGAGAGGTGTATGGAAAGAATATGGTGCATGTCAAGTACAGAATAAGGGGAACGGTGGAGTAATGTTGAAGCAACAACAATTTGGGCAAAACTGGTGCTACAGTGTCACTTGCTTGTAATTTGCACGCCTTGAACTGACATCCATTCTGTAGATACCAAGAAGTAAATGTGCCCCTTGACAGCCCCCATAAAAAAACCAAGCAGACAATGCATAGCATGGAAGATTACTAACCATTTCACAATGATTTACACCTCCCATTCGGTACCCCCACTTCTTCTCACCCATATGCATCTTTCCCCTGACAGAAACGTATCACTAGAGAGGAGCCACACACGCCACGACAACCCGCCAGCACACAAAGTGCCGGCTCCCATACTCTACAAGGGTAGTGCCGCGGGGTAGGTAGGCCTCACCAGTCAACTTTGACATTCTTGACTGTGCCGAACTTGGAGCACTCTTCGACCACGTCGTCCTGCATGTCCTGCTCAAACTCGTCGTCCACCTGCCCGGGAGAACAGCGGGAAGCAATGGGATTGGGTAGGGGGCAGGTGAATTTTAAGGCGCCTCAAACTTGGAGCACTCGTCAAAGACGTCGTTCTGCACATCCTGCTCAAACCCATCGTCCACTTGCACGGGGGGGACAGCGAGACGAAATGGGATGAGTGAGGGGGCAGGTGCGAGGCAGCTCTACTTCTAGCGATAGCTTGCAAAAACAGGCGGGGCTTGTAGGAGGGGCAAAAGCTCGGAACAAAACAAGGAGCAACGGAACACAAACGTAACATGCTAGTATCCAGCCCACGGCGCACCTTTTCTGAGGAGTCAAACATGTTAGTCAACAGCACAAACTCGCTGGGCGTTCCAATCTCCACTGCTGGTGCTGCTGGTGCTGTTGGGACGCGAGGGAGAACCCCTGCTGTGGTGGCGCCTGCAGCAGTAGTAACGGGCATTGTCTGCAGCATGCCAGGGCGCAGAGCCATTGCTGCTGCTGCTCCTGGCAGCCCTGCTGCAGCGGCAGCACTGCACAGAAGGTGTATGGGGAAGGAGCGCAGACCGTAAAAGGAATAGCCAAGGAGAGATGACAAGAGAGCCCATTACCAGCTCCAAGAAGCATGCGGTTCAATAGAGTACTGTAATAGTGTGCATCGCAGACATTACCTTTAAGAATTAGCAGAGGAAAAATCGACTTGGGAGAAGGAAGTAGGAATATTACCTGGTCCCTGTGCGGTCTAGCTTGAGCATGAGAGCTGCCCTGGTCTGTGCGTCAAGTGCCTGTGAAGCCAGGAGAGCACATCGAAAAGAGGGCACGGAGTCGTGTGAGATTGAGACAGCACAATAAAAAGAACGGCATGGGCAATTGGGAGCCATGAACAGTTGAGTACGAGGAGGCGGATCATATACTCATGAAGACAAAAAAAACTGAGTGAGTGCAAGGCAAAAATGTCAACGTTCTTCCTGCACCAAGGCCACACGCCACACTCACCAGACCACCTCGTCCGTCAATGAGCTCCCCTGGCGCCACTGGGTCCATCACCTCCGGCACAGGCGTGATCTGCACCGAGTTGACTTTTGAGTCGACTCAAAAATTCACTCACCAGACCGCCTCGTTCGTCGATAAGCTCCCCTGGCAGCACTGGATCCATCACCTCCGGCACAGGCGTGATCTGCAGGGCGCATGTGGGGCACGCAGGGCGGAGATAGATTAAAGGAGGAGGGAAAGCTTCCTAGTCTTGACTTTCGGCCGTGGGCTGTGACGCCCACGCTCAGGGCGTGCCGCGTGTACCCTCTTTCTTGAAAAGGGACAAACAAGGTTGGGACGAGGGGCAGCACAGCTACCATAATAGCACACTAGATCACGTGATTGGAGATAGGCGCACCTTGATTGCGAGGCCTGCCAGCTCAAGGCCTTCCAGGTTCTGGTGTGCCATGCGTGCATCCTCCAGGCGTGCGTACTGCACAGAGCGCACACACAGAACAGAATGATGCGAGTTGGGTGTAAGGGCCTAAAAATCAACGAGATTATGCAGTCAACGATAGAACGAAAATACTGAAAACCAGTGAAATCCGTCTTCGTCAGTCTCCTTCCCACTAGCCCATATACTTAACCCATCTCTTCCTCTCCTCCCCCATTCCCACCAACCAATCCCCCTCCCAGTCAATTTAAGACCACCCTTCCCAATATCTCTCCCCCTTACTCCGCCGCACAACCCACCTTCACGAAGCCGAATCCCTTGCACTGGGCAGAGCTTGGCTCCATGGGCACCTCCACCAGCTCCAGCTCTCCAAACGGCTCAAACACCTGCGGAGCGGACCGGGGAGTGAGGGGAATGCATGCAGTGCAGCAAAGTGGACGGAAAGTGGGGAAAGTGGGCAAGACATACAAGATAATAAGGACGGGGGTTTTGACATCCGCTTAATGAAAGACCGGAGGAGGAGGAAGGTGGGAAAGGGAAATATTTTACTCCTCTGTGGCTCCCATCCTATTTAGCCACACTTCACATTCCCCGTCTTTCCCATCCTTCCATCCCACCCCCCTGCCCTCCCTCCCGGTTTCCCATCATTCGCGCGCTCACCTGCCGCAGCTGCCCCTCATTCATGTTCACGTGCAGGTTCCCCACATGCAGCCGCTTCGACCCGGTCGCCAGCAGCGCGCCGCCCCCAGCGGCAGCAGCGCTCGCCGCGCTCTGCGCCGCAGCAAGGTTCTTCTCCGCCTCAGATGGCTTCACCATGACGGGCGTGCCCAGCAGCAGCTGCCCGGAGAGCGCGAGCGCCATGGGCACGGCCATGGGGTCGTAGAACTCGATGTACCCCACGCCCTTGGAGCGCCGCGAGTGGCGGTCTGTGATGAGGCGCACGTCGCGCACCTTGCCCGCCTGCGAAAAGAACTCGTACACGTCGTGCTCGTCCGCCTTCAGGTTGATCTGCGGAGACGAGAGACGGCATTGTTAGCGAAGAATGCGAGAATATGAAAGAAAAGAGCGGATTTCAGGTACTTGCACACTTGAGACGCTTGTGCTCAACCGCAGGTTACCTGGGTGGCGAACACACCATGGTTTGGGCTAAACTGATAAGCAAGCATAGTGTGAGTGTGAAGTGAGCACCTGATAAGCGAACACAGTGCGAAGGTCTCTGTCCAGATCAGGCCCGACCTCCGCCTCCTTCTCACGCCTCTCCCGCCGCTCACGAGAGCTGCGAGCACGGTTGTAGAATGGAAAGAAGGTTCAGAAGGCAACAACAGAAAATGGCGAATCAGGTGATGACACGGAACCGCGATGAACACCGCACAACACATCAGTACGCGAGAAACGAAAAGCACCGGTAGTGCAACAGGGACGAGGGATGCTCATCGCTAAACAAAAACCGCAATATACCTCCGCCGGTCGTAATAGTCCCGCTCCCGGTCGCGGCGTCGGTCCCCGTTATGATAGTCTCGCCTCGAGTCGCAACCCCTTCCACGGCTGCTGTAGTAGTAGCGGTCTCGCTCGCCGCTGTCCCTGCTCCGATAGTAGCGGTCCCGATTCCGATCTACATCGCGGTCGCCATCCCTCTCTCGGTCACGCTCCCGGCTTCTGTGGCTTCTGTCTCTGTCGCGACTGTGCGATCTCGGCTCCTCGTGGCGTCGCGCGCGCTTGATGCGATCGCTCTCCTCCTCGTCGCCGACGTCGCCGTTGTTGTCGTCGCCATGATACGGGCCGTCGTCGTCGTCGCCGTATCCGACGTCGCCATCTTCATTGCTCGTGGAGCGTCGCTTGGACCCTGTGCGACGTCGTTGACGAGCGTCGTCGTCGAACTCCGACGACCGTCGCACAGAACCACCGCCGTTCATGTCGCGACCAGTGGGAGAGGCGTACGCGTCTTCGCCTGCTGCTGCACGCTCCACAGTCCTCTCCAGGTACGCGTACTCGTCGAACTCCCCCATATCCAATCCACGCCACGAAGAGCCAGGCGTTTCGTGGCTGTTTCGTCACGCAAACTCGTAGGAAGCTTTTCAATGTGTCTGTTTTGCGGTCACAAAACAACTGACGTTGGTTTGAGAGCGGACTTATGAATACTCCTACGGTTGCTACTTCGCTGTATTGCCTTCTTGGTAAAACAAAAATCGAGGTGGTCTGTGAGCTATTTGTGCCTTTGGGAGTCTGCTAGCCCAAAAAGAAATTGACAGTTCGAATTTGAACTCCCTGTCCCTGGAGGAGGTCCCTGGGAACTTCACGCTACACCATCATCCTTCCTCTGAGGCTGTTTGTGTACGGTTTGTCCTGGTTCGATACGTTCCAAAAGGGTGAAGCAGGGGAACCGTACTCCAACGTGTTGAACCGGGCTTCACCATGAACCTCAAAACAGCGACTTGCCCTGGTAATCCCAAGAGCAGGAAAGGGAGTCTTCCTCAACTCAACTCAAGGTGGACTCGAGGGTACAACTGATGATTCTGGTGGTGATGCTGCGCGCGCCCAAATCATCCCAAGGCGACGGGCCGCCAGACACATGTCCACCTCAAATTGACGGAATGGATGAGAACAATTCGCTCCAAGCGTCAATTTGAACGATTCAAGAAGGTTCCAGCGCGTCCCCGCTTGAAGCACTCCGGACGCGCCATTGAAAGCCTAGAACTATTGTGAGATACCTCCACCATACTTTTCATTCAGGAAATTCACTAAACGGATGTGTGAGACAGAATTTGAAGTACATGACAACTACAGCCTAGGAACGTAACAATGACTGGAGTCGGGCAGCACATGGTACCAGAACAGCACAGCTTGTAAAGCATGTGCCCCTCCTACAAAAGATGAAAGAAAACATGAAACTCGGACGTGCGCTCCTCTCATAAGAGAGGCAAGCAAAGGCCTCGCTGCACTGCACGCACAGCTGTACTTGCAAGCTGCAAGCAACATCTGTAGCAGCACCACCATCAGCACCAAACACCCCTTACCCACTGCTACTACCAGCATGACCACTGCTGGTATTGCCAGCAGACGCAGCCGCAGCAGAAGCCGCCGCAGCCGCCGCAGCAGAGGCCCTGGTGCTCACAGTCCTGGGAGGCACCCCTTGCACCCTGAGCCTGCTGGCAGTGGCAAGGATGGGAGGGTTGGGCGTGATGGCACGCGCTGAGGACAAACCTGACGCCCTGACTGCACGCGCGGGAGCACGTGATGGCAGTGCAGCGACAGACAGGGGAGATGCAGCGGCTGCGACTGGTCCAGTGGCTGCGGCTGCTTCAGCAGCACGTGGTGCAGAGCGGAGCACACGCGACGTCCTGGGAACAATGGGAAATCCACCAGCAGCAGCAGGAGCAACAGCAGTAGCAGCAGCGGCAGCAGCAGGAGGAGCAGGCACAGCAATGCCCGCAGCACCACTGGCATTGGTGCTACGACCACCTTCTTCCTCATCACTATCCTTCACCTCCTCAACCTCCTCTTCCTCCTCCTCTACCTCCACCACCTCCTCCTCATCGCCTCGTCGTGCAGCCACCCCACCTTCCCTGCCACCACGATCCCCACCAAGCAGCATGCTTCGGATCTGCTGAGGCCTCCCCAACCTTCCTCTCCTTCCTCCACCTACTCCCACTCCTCCTCCTCCCCCACTTGCTCCTGGCCCCGCTCCCACCAGTCCTGCTACACCTCCCGCTGCCTCTCCCCACCGGACCCGTTCAGCCTGTCTCATAGCCTCCACAGCCCTCTCCCTATCTCGCCTTGCTCGCTCCAGTGCCAAGTTCAGAGCTCGCCCCACTCGGCTGCCACTGCTGCTGCTGCTGCCGTTGCCATATGCAGCAAGTCCAGTCGACCTCGGCTGAGCATTGGCAGCATTACCAGCAGCATCAGCACCATCGGCAGCAGAAGCAGCAGGTGCACCATCGGCAGCACTGCCAGCGGCGGCACCGATTGCAGCAGCACCAACAGCGGTAAAATCAGCAATGGCAGAGGCATGCCCACTGCCAGTTGTCCTCTCAACAGGCTGTAAGTCCCCCCATCTACCACGCCTATTGCCTCCGCCACCGCCGCCGCCGCCGCCGCCGCCGCCGCCGCCGCCGCCGCCACCACCACCACCGCCGCTGCTGCTGCTGCTGATGGTGCGTGCTGCCAACCAGCTTGGCCCTCCCCTCCTTCCCCCCACGTAGCCCCAAGGAAGCACTGGTGCCTCGCCTGCACCCTGACCTGCACCCTGACCTGCACCCAGTGAAGCATCCGAACCAGCGCCCGTGCCAGCAACTGCATCAGTGCCAGCAGCAGCAGCAGTAGCAGCAGCAGCACCGCCACCGCCAACACCACCGCCACCGCCAGCGGCGGCAGCAGCAGCAGCAGCGGCAGCAGCAGATGGTGCTGATCGTGTGGAGGCAGTGAGGCCTCGGCGGAAGGGCACTCGCGATCCAGCACCACCCAGAGCACGTGCACCAGCAGCAGCACCAGCACCGGCACCAGCACCAGCAGCACCGCCAGCACCACCACCAGCACCACCAGTGCCACCAGTGCCACCAGCACCACCAGTGCCACCAGTGCCACCAGCACCACCAGTGCCACCAGTGCCACCAGCAGCAGCTGCTGCGGATACAAACGCACTGCTGAGCATGAGCCTTGCCTCTAGCTCCTCCAACCGCTGCCTGATCCCCGTTGCACGGGCCAACGCCCTCTCCCCTGCCGCTCTTTCTTCCCCTCGGCCCCCCTCACCTCTCTCCCTCTCCCTCCCACCACGCACAGCAGCATCTCCACTCGCTCCCTCCACACCCAGCTCTCCCCTCCCTCTCCTCGCCTCCCCTCCCTCCTCCCCGTTCCCTTCCCTCTCCCCGTCCCTCCCTCTGCCCCCCCTGCGCGGGGCGGGGAGGGTGCTGAGGAGGCTGCGGCGATTGTGGGCGGGCAGGGCAGGAGGAGCAGCAGCGGCAGCGGCAGCGGCAGCGGCAGGAGCAGCGGTAAGGGCAGGGCGCCTGCGGGCAAAGATGGGCGCGGAGGAGAAGAGGGGGGGGTTCCACACAGAGGAGCCACTGCCTGCAGTCAGCAGCAGCATGGCTGTCCACAGAGACCCATTGTCCCCTGGGAAATCCATATCCTCGTTCTCCTCCTCCTCCTCCTCCTCTTCTTCCTCCTCTTCCTCTTCCTCCGCCTCCTCTTCTTCCGCGTCTCGTTCCTCCTCTGCTTCGTCTTCCTCCTCCCCCTCCTCCACTGCAGCCCTCGCTGCAGCTCTTGCTCTTGCGGCTGCTCTTGCTGCTGCTGCTGCTCGAATCCCCCTCCTCTCCTCACCCTCCTCCCCTTCCTCCCCATCCTCCTCCTCTGCTTCCTCTCCCCATCCGCCACCGTCTATCTCCCATCCTGCATCCCCTCCTCTGCCCCGCCTCCCCGCTAACCGCGCCCTCCGCCTCCTCTCCCTCGCCCTGGCCTCTGCCAAAGCATTCCGCCCCTCTTCCTCCCCCTCACCCCCCCCCCCTGCGCCTCCACTGCTAAAACGCAACCGCCCAAACCCCCCCCTCTCCCCCGTTCGACCACCCCCTATCCCACTCGCACCTAGCCCCTCTCTCGCCCGCCCAAAACCAAACAGCCGAGCAGCAGCCCTCCTCCCAGCCGCCCCCATCGCCCCTCCCCCCTCCATCCCCCCCAGTCCCCCCACCCCGAACGGGTCCCCCAACCCCCCCGCATTGAACCCCGCCAACGTTCCCCCCATCCCCCTCAACCCCTGCCTTCCCAAGCCTCCCCTGCCGCCCGCGCCTCCCCAGAACCTGCCTCCGCCATACAACCCCCCTGCGCCAAAGCGGCCCCCGTCAAGACCCCCCAGCCCGCCGAACCCGCCCAGCAGATCATCCTCATCATCACTGTCGCCGCCTATCACATAGTCGCCTATTATAGTAGCTCCTGGCATGGCGGCGCGGATGCTGCTCACCACGTCCCCGACCTCCTGCTGGCTCTGCAGCCTCCGCCACTGGCGCACGCGCGCGGGGTCCGCCTCCGCGGGCGGGCGCGCCTGCGCGTGCGTGGAGCGCGCGTGCGCGCGGAGGGCGGGGTACGCGCCGGCGAACGCGCAGTTCTCGTGCGCGCACGCGCGCGGAACGGCGTTGAGCAGCGCGCGCACGTCCTTGTGCACGAACCACCCCAGCACGGGGCAGCGGCACATGGGGCAGCGCAGGGACGCGGACTCGGCGGGGGGCACGCGCGAGAAGCACAGCCCGTGCAGCTCCCCGCCCGTGAAACACGCTGTGGTGTCATGCGCCCCGTGGCAGCGCCCGCGCTTCCTGCTCCGCTTCCCCACCTTCCCCGCCTTATCCGCCTTCCCCACCTTCTCCGCCATACCATGCTGCGCGTCATGGGACCCGTGCGCCAGGTGGCTAAGCTGAGTATGGTGAGTGTGGTTGCAGATCACACTCGTCTCGCTCCTCCTCGCCTTGCCAACATCCTCCTTCGCCGTTCCCTTCCCTGCCCTCTCGACTTGCGCCTCATCCCCACCTTTTCCTTCTCCTGCGCCCTCCCCCATGCTCTCGACTGTCTCGCCCGCCGACAGCAGCAGCAGCTGGCCCCGTCCGAGGGCCTGAAGGAACGGCCGGCTCACGCCGCGAAGCCCGCCGTCGTCCACGCGACGCCGAGCCGCTTTCCCCCTCCGCTTCGACCCCCTAGACCTGCCACCCGCAGCGCCCTCGCTAACTACCCGCTTGCCCTTGTCTTCCGCACTAAACCTCACTTCCCGCACTCCCACCACCGCCTCCTCTCCCGCTCCCCCTGCCCCTTCCGCCCCCCCCTCTTCCGCCTTCCCCCCCTCTTCTGTCGGCGCGTTCTCCTCCGCCGCACCTTCCGCTTCCGCCCCTCGCTGATCCGCGTGCGTCGTGTCGTCCGAGCGGCACAGGCGCCGTCGTTGGCGGCGATGGCGGTGCCGCCTGTCGCTGCGACCAATACCACGAGCGCCCTCATCCCCTCCCCCTCCACCACCACCACCACCACCACCACCACCACCACCACCACCACCACCAACACCACCACCAACACCAACACCAACACCAACCGCAGCGGTGCCAGCAGCAGGAGCCTCAGCACCAGCGATTCCGCCAGCCAACGCAAGTCGCCTAGCTTCCGTGCGACGCCTGGGACTGTCGCCATCCTCGTCGCCGTCGTCGTCATCGTCGTCGTCGCTGATGACGATAAGCGCGCCACTGCGACTGTGGTCTGCGACTGTCGTCCCTTCGTCCTCACTCCCCTCCTCGTCGTCGCTGCTGCTGCTACTGCTACCGCTGGTAAATCCCCCGTCGCTGCTGCTACTGCTCGCGCTGCCGTCGCTGCTGCCATTGCCATTCCGGCCCAGAATACTCCCGCTACTGTCGCTGCTCCCGCCGCTGCCGCTGCTGCTGCTGCTCCAAGTGGTGCCGTCCTCGCCCTCTCGCTCCTCCCCCTCCTCCTCCTCGCTGTCGCTGCTGCCCAAGCTGTACTCGCCGCCCCTCCGGCTTGCCCCGGCGGCTTCCCCCCTAGCAGAATGGCGGCGAGCGGACGAGAAGATTCCCCAGGACGTGGAGTTGCGGCGCCCGCCCGGCACTCCCGCACCTAGCCTCCGCTCGCGGGACGACGAGCGACGGGACGAACCCATCGTTACAGTCACGTGGACCCGCCACCGCTCTTCCTCGCTTCGACCGCCACCGCCGCCACCGCCACCGCCGCCACTGCCGGCTCCAGCTCCCGCGCTCACCGTTCCGTCTTCCCCTCTCTCCCCCACTCCCCTTCCGCCTCCTCCGCCTCCGCCTCCACCTTCTCCTGCCGTTCCGCGCGCTTCCCCAAAGAGTATCGACGGTTCGGAATTGCCTGCAGCGTTGGAGGGCGCTTCAGCAGAGCCGGAAGCAGAACCAGTGGCGGTTCCACCAGTGCCCGTTGCTGCGGTGGCATCTCCCGCAGACCCAGGCATCACCGCAGCAATCCCGCTGCTTGCGCCACCGTCTGCGCCAACGCCGTCGACAGCCCCGCCGACTCCGCCAGCGGCAGCGGCGGCGGCGGCGGCGACGGCGCTGGTGGCGGCGGCGCTGGTTCTGGCTTCAGCAGGCGCGCCTGCGAAAACAGCCGCCGCCGCAGTCGCCGCTTGCTGCGACTTGCGGAAGTGGTCGAAGCAGTTGGAATGGCGATGGCTGGTGTCGCACACGAACGTGCGACAGCCCTTCTCCAGCGACGCGCACACCAGCAGCACCGCGTTGTGCGGCGCCTCAAGGCAGATCGGGCAGCAAACGCGGTCGGTAAGTTTCTTACGCGCCAAATCCGCAGTCAAACAAACCTCCTCTTCCTCCTCCTCTTCCTGCTGACCCTCTCCCTCTTCTCCCTCCTCTCCCTCCTCTACTTCCTCTCCCTCCTCGCCATCCTCCTCCTCCTCCACCTCCTCCTCATCATCAGGGCCTGCAGCCGTGTTATCGCCCGCCATGGCGCCTCCAGGCGCAGACGCAGATGCAGCGCATCTGGACGATTCGCCAGTGCTCTTCCGAAATTTGCTTCCCTTCCCCTTCCGTTTCCTCTTGCATCCGCCAACAGTTCGCGCGAGACCACCCGCGCTTCCTCCCGCGCGGATCTCCGCCTCACCTTCCGCCACCGCTTCCGCCTCCCCCTCAGCCTCCGCCTCCACGGGTTTCCTCCTTCCGCCAGCCATGCTCCGTTTCTTAGCCTTTCGTCGCCGCCGACTGGCATCCTCCGCCCTTCGCGTTCTCCGCGTGCTTCCTTGCTCCCGGGCGGTCTCTCCCACTCTCGCTACCGTCCCACCGGCTCTCGCACCGTGACCGTCCAATCGGAGCCGTCGTCTGCGCTGCGAAGCGGCAGAACCGCCGGAAACGGTAGATCGGTTACCGGCGGTTGCAGGGCGAGCGGAGGGCGATCTCCCCCGGCGGGATGGAGATCTCCTCCGCTTGCGCCTCCTGCTCTCGCTCTCCGGTCTCGTTCGCGGCTGTGCAAGCGCCGCGGTGTCCCTCCCACCCTCCCCACCATCGGTACTTGGGTCCATCGGTAACGGCGGCCCGCACCGCAGAAACGCGCTGCCTGCGGAGGCGCGCAACGCGACGTAGAGAAGAAGGCGCCCGGATCTTAGGCTTGACAAAAGCTCCGGCTGATTCCACACAGATGAGAGAAGGGCTGGGCTGGACAACAAAGTAGAAAATTTCACCACACCAATTGAGGAGAAATGAGAAGCAAATGGATGATGAGTGATGTTTTGAGCAGAATTGGGAGAGATTTGAGATTCGAGGAGCTAGGAGGAAGAAATTTGGCAGACAGAGGTGCCACGCCACCATGCCACTGCCAGCTTCTCCTTGGGGTTTGATTTGGTTCGGTTTGCGTTGCCTCGGAAACAAGCAACAGAAGGGAGTAGGCGAACTCAATTTCGCGAGTACTCGTGCCCTCGCCCTCGCATGGCGACAGTGGCGAAGATGAGATTGCCTTTCACGAAGCACTGGTAATAGTTTGTGGTCGTGACCACTGTTTGCCGAGCCTGATGTGCTGGTCAGGAAGGGTCAGCCCAAAGCGAAGTGGAGGCTTTCAAGGTACTGTAGTGTACGTACGGTTGGCCTTGAGCCATGCCATGCATGGGTACACGGGGGAGGTTGGGCCGTACACGGGCAAGCCAAGCGAATAGCGAACAGTTTTCACTTCGTCATCTCATGCGAGGACGGCTCGGCTCGACACAGTGGTTTCATGTACACAAGCCAGAACGGTTCAGGCATAGCTAGGGTTGCTTCTGATTGGATGAGTAAGTGTAGTTTGCGTTGACGAGCGTGATGGTTTGTGGTGAGCGTCCTTGTGAGATGAAATCCCCCATATCGTCCGAGACCCAGGCCACCATTTGCTTCGGCTCGGCAAGCCAGATTTCAAATGGCCCCCATAGTCCATGCCACGTCAGCTGAACTCTCCACCAATGCTAACTTGGTGTTGTGCGCGGTTGTGGGCTATCCGAACTTTCGTAAGTCATGACCAGCATCTATAATATACAACATTCACTTATGGGCGAGGAACAGAATGATTCAGCAATAGGGAAGGACAAGGAATTGCAGAATAAACGTCTTTGGGCGAGGCAGAACATTGCTGCCTGGCTTGAAAGGGCCAGCATGTACCACGACCAGCTCCTGAGGTGCTCCCTGATGCGTCTGCTCACACTGTATTGTACCATCCAGAAACTGGATTTTGACATCTGTAACAACCACCATGTTGCTGTCACGGACAGCCATGGAAGGCCATAGGCAGAGAGCCATGCAAAGGCCCAGAGCTCGGCATGGCTCGTGTGCTTCGATGAAGAATAGCAACTCAAAGACCGTGTGTGGTGGAGTGGAGGGATGCGTGAAAGAGGACTGGCTCTTGGGGGGAGCTTGGGTGATGGCATCGCATTGACCGTGATACCCAGCACTTCCCATTACATTGCACTGCAGGGAAACAGTTTGAAAACAAGGCCGAAAAGGAAACATGAGCAGTGGTAACAGTGAGAGTTTCGCACTGTAGCAGTGACCTGCAGAGAAACCATCAGCTGGGCCCATCCACGAAAACAGCCATCACACACACACACACACACACACATGCCAAAAAAGCAAAGAATCACACACCTTGAGAAGCAGAGGCCAGGACGGCGAGAGGCGGTTGCGATCAGCATCGGATGCGCTTGGGGTTGTCCCCACCAGCCGGGGACTGCAGGTCTGGCAGGAGGTCCCTGAGGTGCTGCTCTGACGGCAGTAGGTCCATTGGCCGCTTTGCTGGTGGCGTCAATAAAGGCTGCCGCCTATCCTCCTCATCTTCTGCTGCTGCTGCTGCTGCTGCTGCTGTGTCACATGGTGCCGCTGCTGCTGTTACTTCTGCTGCTTGTGCTGATGCTGCTTCGGGTTCAGCTCCTGCTGCTGCTGCTGCTTCTGCTGGTGCTGCTGCTGCTGGGGCTGATGATGGTGCTAGTGCAGGTGCTGCATCTGAGGCTGTATCTGCTGGTCCTCCTGCTGGTCCTGCAGGTGTGAATGCCTCTGCTGTTACGGATGGCACCTCTGCTTCCATGCCTCCTTCCCTCCTCTCAATGCACCCCCCATCCCCTCCAACACCTACCATTGGATGGTCTGTTCCAGGGTCTATGCCAAGGTCTGTGCCAGGGTCTCTGTCAGGGTCACCAATACACATGCCACCCTTATGCCTGTCACCTGATCCACCCTCTGCCTCTCCTGCTTCTTCTGCCATCGTGCAGCCGTTACCAGCAGACTCCCTCCCGTCACCACTCCCTCCATTTCCTCCACTCGTCCCTCCTCCTTCCCCTGCTGCTGCTGCTGCTGCATCCCCCTGTGTCCACCTGTCACCGCACCCATCAGCTTCACTCGCACCTGCAATGTTCCTCGCATCACCCCCGCTGCTCTGCCCTTCATTACCACACCCCCCACTGCGGATATTCCCTACCATCCCCTCCCCATCGTGCCCCTCCCCACCATGCCCCTCCCCACCATGCCCCTCACCACCATGCCCCTCCTCTCTGTGCCCCTCCCTATCGTGCTCCTGAACAAAACCTACCTCCTCACCCTCCCTGCTTCCCCGAACAATCGGCGAAAGCGCAGCACCATCGGCATCACCACCATCATCACCACCATCCCCACCAGCATCACCATCACCCTTTCCTCCCTTCTCCCTTCTCCCACTCCCCACACCCCCACCCTCCCTCAGCCCCTCAGGAATGGCACCGAGGCTGCGAGTGTGGCGGCGGGCAGAAGGCGTGGGGGCGAAGGAGGAGTGAAAGAATGGCGTGGCAGGGGAGAAAATGGTGTCGGCACCAGACGTTGGGAAGAGCGGGGAGAACAGCAGCGTGGGCGACATTAGGGGCGACGGCATAATGAATACTGCGCCGCTGCCACCACCGCTGCCACCACCACCACCGCCGCCGCCGCCGCTGCTGCTGGTGAAGCCGCTGCAGTTGCCTGAGCTGCTGCTCCCAGCAACTCCTCCTGCCCCTCCTGCTCTCCCCCCGCCAAAAGAACCCATGCCAGACCCACCACCACCACCGCTGCTCCCGCCGTTCCCACACGAAGCGCCGCTGCCGCCCCCACACATCCCCATCCCTCCCGCATCCACGCCTATGGAGCCAAAACCAGTGAGGCCGCCAGGCAGGGTGCCGTGGTCATCAGGGCCTGCGAGAATGGAGGGCGAGAAGAGTGAGGGCTCCGAGTCAAACCCCACTGCTTTCATGTCCAGAGGAGGCGGGCGGGGGAAGCGCGAGAGCAGCGAGCTCGTGCCAGGCCGCGGGGGCTTGAACACATCTGCTGCCTGCCGCTGCTGCTGCTGCTGTGAGCTGCCTCTTCCCACTCCTCCTTGCCCTCCTCCTCCGCCCCCACCTCTTAAAGTCGTGTTGTCTGCCATTGCACCCGCACCAGCAACACTAGCAACAGCAGCAACAGCAGCAGCAGCAGCAGCAGCAGCATCGTCGTCCTCATCACCTGCAGCCATGGCCATCTCTTCCATGGGCGGCAACAGGTCCTCCCCCCTGTCCACTGCTTCTAAGGCACCTGCTGCTTCTGCTGTTTCTGCTGGTACTGCTGGTTCTGTTTGTACTCCTGGTGCTGCTGCTGTTTCCCCTACTCCTGGCCCGTGCCCGCCCACCCCGTGTTCCCTTGCTACTCTCCCTGCCCCTCCTGCTCGACCGCTGCTTCCTCCCACTGCCCGCTCTTCTCCTGCTTCCCTACCCCCACATTCTCCTGCTGCAGCAGCAGCACCAGCAGCAGCAGTAGCAGCATCATTCCCCTCACAGCCCCGCCCTTGCGCGTCCATGGGCGAAACCCCTTCTGCCACACGTGCCTCCTCATCACCCTCCTTCGCTGCTTCTCTGCACTCTGCTACACTCGACCTTGGCTCACCTACCCGCTGCTGCTGCTGCGACTGCTGCTGCTGCGACTGCTGCTGCTGCGGCTGTTGCTGCTGTCTGTGTTTCGGTTGTTGCAGGCGCTGTCGCGGTTGCTCGTCTCGCATGCTCTCATCCGCCTCGTCCCCATCCCCTCCAACCACCACAAGCTTCAGAAACTTCTCTTCCTCGTCCTCCTCATCCTCCTCCTCCTCCGCCTCCTCAACTCCCACACCCCTCTGCTCGCCCTGCCCGCGCCCCTCCAGCCCTACGCCCACACCAAACTCCCCTGTCTCCATCTTCACTCCTCCTTCCAACACACCCGCTTCCACTGCCCCTGCAACTGTTCTAGCTCCTGCTCCTGCTGCTGCTGCTGGAGAGGAATCAACCAAAGCAGCTGCTGCTTCTGCTGCAAGGCTGCCATTGCATCGCACACCTAGCTCACCACCCATCTCGCCGTTTCTTGGCCCAAACAGCCCCATTGCCATCTCTGCTACGCCTGCTCCTACCTCGCCTCCCACCCCACCTTCTGCACATTCCCCCTTGCTGCCGGCTCCTGCTCCTGCTGCTGCTTCACCTAAAGCGCCACCTTCCCTCTGCCACGCGCGCACCGAAGCCGCGGCTATTGCTGCTGCTGCTGCTGCCGCCGCCGCCGCCTCTCCTTCGTCCATCTCCTCCTCCTCCTCATCCAGGCGCCCACCAGCCCCAGCACCAGCAACAGTACCAGCCCCGGCAGTGGTAGCAGCTGCGGCGGCAGCAGCAGCGGCGGCATGGGCCATATCGCGGCCAGTGCTACAGCTGTCTAGACTCGCTCGTCTCTGCAAACCAGCACCCTTGCTCCCTGCACCACCCGCCCCACTCTGCCAATCGCCTCCAACCCCCATTCCGCCCATTGCATACCCCACCCCCACCCCAGCCCCCCCAGGAGCGGCCCCTGCTCCTGCTACTCCCCCCGGACCCCCCATCCCCGCTCCCCTTCCCCCTCCGCCTGCCCACCCCCCTGCTCCTGCGCCCGCGCGCCTCTCACTCATGATAGAGCACCCAGCGGAATCCGCAGGCCCTACGTCCCCGCTCGCTCTGCTCATGGTGTTCCGTCCGTCCCCGCTCACCTGACCGCTCACCTGAGGCCAATCGGAGCTTCTCTGGGGTTCTTCCGATCCTTGGGACTTGCTACCGCCACCACCACCCCAGTTCCCCTTCATTGCACGCACCAGCAGGGCCTTGAGCAACTCCCGCTTCTGTTTCTGCACCTGCCTCGCTTCCTCGCCTCCCTCCTCCTCTCCTCCTTCCTCGTCTTCTTCCTCCTCGTCCCCCTCCTGCCCTGTCTTGCTCGCGGACACCTGGGGTTGGTGGGTTGGATCCTGCGACTGCGATTGCGATTGCGATTGCGATTGCTGCTGCTGCTGCTGTTGGCGTAGGAGAAGTTGTTGGAGCTGCAGCAGCAGCTGCTGCTGCTGTTGCTTCGCTGCTTGCTTCTGCTGCTGCTGTTGCTGCTCCTGTTGCTGTTGCTGTTGCTGTTGCTGCTGCTGTTGTTGCTGCTGTTGTTGCTGTTGTTGTTGCTGCTGCTGCTGCTGCTGCTGCTGCAGCAACAGCTGCTGCAACTGACGTAGCTGCTGCTGACGCTGCCTCTCCTGCTGTTGCTGCTGCTGCTGCTGCCGTTGCTGCTGTTCCTTCTGTTCCTGCTCCTGATGCTTCTGCCGCTGTTGCTGCTGCTGCTGCCGGCGTAGCAGCTGTTGCAAAAGCTGCAGCTGTTGCTTCTGTAGCGTATCCTCCTGATTCTCCTCTTGCTGCACCTGCTGCTGCTGCTCCTGCTGCTGTACCTGCTGCTGTTGCTGTTGCTGCTGCTGCCTCAACTTGTTGACAAGCATCAACAGGATCCCAGCACTGTCTTTACTCGCTAGAAGCTCCTTCGCTGTAGCAACTCCATCCGGGCTGTTCAGCTTTGCAAGAAGCGCAGCGGCAACAGCAGCTGCAGTACCTCCTCCCCTCCCTCCTCCTCCGCCTCCGCCTGCCCCTCCCCCTCCCCCTCCGCCCCCCCCTCCCACTTCTCCCCCAACCAGTGATGCGTCCGGGGACAATGCCACAATCCCCCCCCTGTCTCTTCCCCCACCACCAGCCACCCCACTCTCACTCCCCTGCCGTCTCAAATCATCCCGCCCCGCACCCGCACCACTCGCACCCCCACCCCCGCCCCCAGCACCTGCGATTGCCCCCCAAGTGCCTCCGCCCGTACTTGCGCCACTGGCGCTTCCGCTGACGCTTTGCCGCTGTGCTATACCCGAAAGGGCGGAAACCCCCCCCGCCTTTAGCAGCGCGGCAAGCACACCCGCGTCTATTCCCCCGCCCAGCACTCTCCGCGGGATCCCGCTTCCGCTCGCGCTCGCGCTGATACTCGCGCCAACGCTTGCGCTTCCGCCATCACGCCCACTTCCCCCAAGCGCGTGTCCTCCCCCTGCGCCAACCCCGCCCACACCGCTCCCCCCGCCCCCACTGGAGCGCCTCTGCAGGTCAAGCGCACCCAGCAGTCCGCTCTGCGCCACCCCCCCCACGCCCCCGCCCTCAAATGCACTCGCTAGGGCATCCGCGCTTCTGCTTCCTTCCACCATCCCATTCCCCGCTCCGCTTCCCCTTACCAACCCCGCAAGTCCCCCAGAGAGCCCCCCGGCGGCGGAGCCTAGGCGCGAGCCCAGTAGCCGCGCAAGGAGCTTCCGCGTATTCGCGTCCAGGGGGTTTCCGGCCGCGGCGGAGGCGGCGGCGGCGGCTATTGCTGCGGAAAGCGCGGCGGAAGTTGACGAGGAGGCGGAGGACGGGCGCGGTTGCTGCTGCGCCTGATGGTGGGACGATGCCGCCAGGGAGGAAAGGGGGAAAGGCGCAGCTGGCGCGGAGAGACTGGACGGGCACGGGGAGCGGGAAAGCGCTCCCCCTCCACCGCCGCCTCCCCCTAGGGCGGATCCCGACATCCCTGAGAGCGCGGAATGCTCCCGCGCAGGCTGCGCGGGGGAAGAGAAGCGCCCGTCGTTGAGGTCCGCGTCGGGGCTCCTGAGGCGCAAGGGCAGAGGGGAGACGGCGGAGCCCGCGGGCAAGTACGCGCGGATAGACGACGCTGCGGGAGAGCCTCCCCGTCCCCCTCCCCGTCCCCCTCCCCCTCCCCTTCCCGCTCCCCCGCCGCCCGCGGAACCCTGCCCCGCAAGAGCTGCAGCGGTAGGCCCCAGGCGCGCGGGAGAAGGCGAAGCGGTGGCGGCTTCCGACGCCTCCCGCTCCGCGGCGGCCCCGGCGGCGGAGCGGGAGGCGGAGTTGCTCCGCGGGCGGGGCGGGGAGGGCGGGGAGGACTCGACGAGGAGCGAGAGGTGCAGGCGCACGTGGCCGAGCAGCTTGCCGTTACGGCGGTGCACAGGCTGCATGACGTCCAGATGGCCGTCCGCGAAGACCGGCGACAGGTTGAGCTTGCACGACCCCAGAATGCGATCGCCCGCGTCCGCCTTGTCCCAGAACTGCACGTGCAGATCCTGGTGGCACGCGGATGAAGGGGGGATGGCGCGGGGGGAATGGTGTGGGGGGGATGGCGCGGGGGAAATGGCGTGGGAGGGATGGCGCGGGGGGAATGGCGCGGGGTGGTGGGGAGGGATGGCGCGGGGTGGTGCGGCGGGAATGGCGCGTGTGGGAATGGAGAATGGAAAAGGGGGGAGCATAGATGTGTGAGAGAAGGAGAAGCGGATTGGATGAGGGAGGGAGAGGGGGAATGGAAAACTGAACGCGACGAGGAACCAGAGGCGTTGGGAAGGACGGGAGAAGAGCGGGGAGAGGGAGAGGGTGGGAGGTTAAGGGCTGTTGGGGAGGGGAAAGGAGGAATGGGAGAAATGGGGAGGGGAGGCGGAACGGAAGGTTGCGGGAGTCGAAGGAGCGGCGGGGAAGCGGAGCGGAGAGGAGAGAAGAGGACAGAGGAGAAGAGACGAGGAGAAGAGAGGAGAGACGAGGGGAGAAGAGGAGTGGCGGGGGGCGAGGGAGGAGAGGAGAGTTACCATGGGCCCTTGGCCGTCGTCCGGGAGGAGGAAGCTGAAGCGGTGGTTCCAGACGGGCCGAGAGATCTGCGAGCACGACGTGTGCGTGCGGTGCTGCACGGAGCCCAGGCGCAGCACGGCGTAAGGGTCGGACTTGGTTGTCGACTTGCTGTCCTTCAGCCCTGACGTCGATCCCACTGTTACCTCCAGGCATCGCGCCACCATTTCGATGGCCTTTTGTTGGTGTTTTCTATATTTTTTTTCCGGCTTTGTTTGGTTATTTGATGACGTATAAGGACCGCGAATTGCGGATATGGCCGGGTGTTATTGACAGGGAAGTGTGGAGGGAAGGTGGCATCCGCGCAGGAGCGATTGCTGCCGGAAAGTCACACGCGTTGCTGAAACTCAGCCGCTTGTTGCTCCTCGTCCTCGTCCGCCAAACTCAGGTCGTTCTTTCTTTCTGGTGCGACGGATTGGCTCGTAATTCACCTAGCGCGATCCCAGTAATGGAGGGAGAGGTTATGAAACCTACATCTTAAGATGGAGGTGAGAGAAGCGGAGTGCAGACACACGTGAGGTAATACGAGCAAGAGAATGAGAGGCGTCGAGTTTTGACCTAAACCACGCCGCAGCTGTCAGCGGTGCGACAGCAATAAATTATTCCGACTTGGACAACGAGCTACAGTATAAGTTATTCGGCATGCTTGCATAACGCGCGTCCGCACCACAATGCCAGTAATACTGTTCTTTCCCCGATAACCCAGCCTAACCAGCAACCTCGAGAGTTTCATCCACCTCAGGCGCTCGAAAGTGCAACTGGCTATCAGTTTCCCTTTTTCCTGATCAGTCAAATGAAGAAAGAAAGGGGAGGATCTGGTGCAGTGGTGGTGTGCGACAGAGATTCCAGAAGCCTAGAAGATTTGAAAGGAGAGAGGTTGGGTTCGTTTGGGTGGGTGTTGCCACTTGGTTGGTTGGTTTGGGATACGGGTGTGGTTGGTTGTTGGGGGAGGAAGAGCAGAAAGCGTTGGGGGATGGCTCGGATGCGAAGATGAGGTGGGGGGGGGGGGGAAGGGGTGGGTGCAGGCAGGGTGGCGATGATGCAGCGATGATGATGATGATGATGAGTTGACAAACATGCTCGCGAAAGTCGCCAAGTCGCCTTTGTGTGAGCGGTTGCGCGTTCCGAGTGGCCTCACGATTCGCGAAATAATCGTGCGAAAACAATGGGTAGCAGGGGCGGGGAGGGGGGGGTGACTGGCGGAACTGAACGGAATGGTTTGCACGGAACCGCATTACCAAACCACAAACGGAGTTCCCAAGGGGTGGCTGGGACGAGGCAGGTTGCGTTCCTAGAGATCCCCCCGAACCCGAGACATCGCTCACTCGACCCCGCAGTGCAGGGAGGGCTTTCAGCTGTACAGTAAGTAGAATGGGGTGTGCTTTCTTTTCCAGTAGCGCAGAATGAATCTGCGTCAGGATCTCCTCTCCACCAACCACGCCACCGCATTTGACTCCCAACAACTTCCCCTAGGCTGGGGAATGTGTGAGCTGGCACACAGCAACAGGATGACCTCGCACATTCATGGGGGGCACCTGGTGCTGAAATGCATGAGTACAAGCGCTGACGATACAGAGTTGTGATTCTTTTTGGAATTTGTGCACACACTTAGTGAAAGTGTATAATCAAGCACAATGCATGTACACAAAGCAAACTTTCTCCATGCATTTATATAACCTGCTTTTTATGCAGTGCTACATGACATATACCTTACTACAGCATATCAGGTCCCTGGGTCAGCTCCCAGTCCACAATGATTATTCCCAACGCATGAGCAGCAGATGCAGCATAATAAATGGAATTCCCTTCCTCTACCTATTAAATGTCTGAAGGACCTAAAGGAGTCACCAACCCAACCCAATGTCAATCCACATGCAGCAAAATCATATGGTACTTACACGGGCCTAAGAGGACCCCCTACACTCAGCTACAAGCAAGAGCCAATGGACTCACACGACGCCCTTCATTACAAGAACGGTCAGAAGGGGGGACTGAGTAGCTGATGGGGGCAGGAGGTGTGGAGCGGAGAGGAGAGTTACTGTGGAAACGGGGGGCTCTTGTGTGTCGGTGTGCACTGTAGGTCTGTTGATGCAGAGAGAAAGAGGGGCACTTGCGACGCCTGCAGAAGCCTGTTGCAGCCATGCCTGGTAGTATTTCAGAGGGTACGTTGCAGGCGAGGACAACGGAGTCGTATGGAAGAGACAAGGGAATCAGACAATAGGAACTAAACAGTGAGATTAATGTGCATGTTTTCGCCTGCTTGTGCGCACGCCCACCCACACACCCACACAAACACCACACCATCTCTCCATCGCCCTCCCCCTCAACCTCACCCCTTATCCCCATCTTCTCCTCCCCCTTTCCCATCCCCCCCGCTTCCCCATCACAATCATCCTTACCTCAACAGCAGCTCTTTGCGTCTCGGGAAGAGCCGCAGGGAGGCACGTGCCGGGGGCAAGAGCGAAAGGGGGCAGGCCCAGCAGGAGGGGCAGGGCAGGGTTGGTGAGCAGTAGGCGCCCAGAGGGAGGCTGCAGAACAGCAAAGCCCAGAGATGCCTGCGAGAGCAGGTTGCTGTGGGAGGGGGGGGGAGTGGGGGAGGTTGTGGGATTGGATGGGGGGGTTTGCAGGGGAGGCGGTGGTGGGGGAGGGGGAGGGGGAGGAAGAGAGAGAGGGAGATTGACGGAGGGACGCAGATCAAGAGTGGACGAAGGTGGCGGAATGGGGATTTGAGTCGAACAGTGGCAGCAAGCTGAGCGCTGGGTAACCAGATGGACACACAGGAGCAAGGGGAGGAGAGCGCGGGGGGGGGGGGGGGGGGGGGGGGGGGGGGGGGGGGGGGGGAGGGGGGAGAGGGGAGGGGGAGGAGAGGGGGGGGTGAAGGGATGAGGAGGAGTGGGAAAGTTGGGAGTTTGGGATAGAGAAGGGCTTTTACCTGAACCACGACTCAGCAGCACCAGCGCACTTGGCACACACGGCAGCAGCAGCAGCATCAGCACCACACGAGTTCCCCATGCGTCCATGCGCATGGTCATGTGCAGCTACTGCCACCCTATTCTCCACCTCACCCCCACCAGCACCCTCCTCCCCTTGCCCCTCCGCCCCTTCCACATCAGCCATCACGGCCACATCGCTCTCCTCCTTGCCTTCACTCCCATGCTCCACTACACTTCCGTCCTCCTCCTCACTCCCCTCCCCACCATTCTCCTCCTTCCCTTCCTTCTCCTTGTCCTTCCCTTCCTGCTCCTCACTCCTCCCCGCTCCCTTATCCTTCTCCTCCTCCCCCTTATCCTCATTCTTCCCCTCCTTCTCCAGGGCATTCGTCTGCTCCTGCACACTCCTCAGCCCCCCCAGCATGCGCTCTAGTGTTGCCATTTCCTCCTCCAACTGCTGCAGCTCTCGCCTCACTGCCTCCTCCCTCGCTTGCTCCTGCACCCTCTTATCCTCTGCCTCTCGTTCTGCCTCTTTCTTTGCCTTTACTTCTGCCTCTGCCTTTACCTCTGCCTCTGCCTTTACCTTCGCCTTTTCCTCTGCCAGCTTGCTTGCTTCATCTGCCTCCCCCCTCCCCACAGCAAGCACCACCGCGGTTGCACCAGCATTCTCGTAGCTCCCCACAACCAAGCCTGCTTCGACCCTCTCACTCCTTGCATTCTCACCTCTGCCTTCCCCCCCCATATCTACCAACCTTCCCTCCATCGGTGCACAACTCGCCGCCTTCCCATCTCCCTCCTCTCCCCTCTCCCTCTCCTTCTCCTTCACTGCCTCAGCGTCCCGCCCATCCCAAATGTCTTCCCTCCTCCCTGACCTCATTTTCATTAACATGGGCCCTCGTACAGGCCTCGCTGCTGCTGCAGGCGCTGCTGCTGCTGGTGCCGCTCCTGCTCCTCCTCCTCCTGCTGCTGCAGCTGCTGCTGCCTCGGCACCTCCCACATCAGCAGAACCCTTCCTCTCTTCCAGCCCATTCTCACCTCCCCTCCCTCCCTTCCCTGCCTCATCACCCGCGCCTCCCCGCACCCCGCCCTCCTCACTTCCCATGCGCGCCACAGCGCTATCAGCCAGGTCCTCCCGCCGGCCGGATCGCAGCTTCATCAGCATCCTCCGCGGATCAGGCCTCTCCACCACCGCTACCACCTTGCCAGCTGCATCGCTGTCCCTCTCTCCCTCGTCTGCTCCCTTCGCTAGCCCACGCTCACCTGCACCAGCAGCACCAGCAGCACCAGCACCAGCAGTACCACCAGGAGCACTAGCAGCACCAATAGCATCGGCACGACTCTCACCTGTCTCTCCCGCACCATCTCCTCCAAACACACTGTTTCCACTGCCCTTGCCACTCTCCTCATTCGTTCCCTCCCCAGCCCCACCTGCTTCTCCCATTCCCCCACGCCCTCCTCCTCCCCCTCCTCCTGACACCCCTCCTGGCCCCACCGCTCCCCCGCCCAATCCCCCTGACCCCAACCCCCCTGGCCCCAACCCTCCTGGGCCCAGTCCTCCTGCTCCTCCCACCGCTGCTGCCCCCGGTGCTCGCCCCAGAGCACCGAAGTCCAGGTCTCCCCGGGACCCGCTCCTCCTGCCCGACCGCAGGCGCATCAGCATTCTCCGAGGCTCCAGCTTCTCGATCCCCGTCACCCCCTCCTTGCCCTCCCTGCCCTCCCTGCCCTCTCTGCCCTTCCCACCACTCCCCTCCCCGTCGCCCTCCCTCACTCCCTCTCCTGCCCCCTCCCCTGCAACCTTGCTCCCCTCGCTGCTCCTGCTCTCAGCCACCTTGCCCTCACCGCCCTTCCCCTCGCCTGGCCTTCCTTCACCATCGCCCGCGTCCCCATCAAGAGCAGCACGCAGGTTCATTGCCGCATAATCCATCTCCCCACGGGACCCCCCCCTGCGACCAGATCGCAGCTTCATCAGCATCCTCCTCCGGTCCGTTCCTGCTTCTGCACCACCACCAGCAGCGCCAGCAGCGGCGCCAGCAGCAGCGGAATCAGAGGTAACACCAGGCGCAGCAGCAGAAGCACCACCAGCAGGAATACCGGCAGGCAAGAGATCTCCAGCAGAAGAAGAAGAAGCAACAGCAGCAACAGCATTAGCAGCAGCAGCAGCAGCGCCTGAGCCCCTCTCAGAGCCCCATAGGCCCCTCCCTTTCGCCCTGGGCCCGGGGGTGACAACCTCAGGCCGCAGCCCACTGCGCCCCACGCTCCTGCTCCGCACCGGCTCGTCCAACCCCCCAGACACGTGCAGGCGCGGCACAAATGCCGCGAAGCTATGCTTCTTGCCCTCCCCCCCTCCCCCTGCTCCCCCTCCTGCTCCTGCTGTTGGTCCAAGCCCACCCCCGTCTCCTCCTCCTCCTGCTGCTGCTGCTCCGCCTGGCCCTGCTGTCCCTGGAGGCTGGGAAAGATCAATGTCTCCAGCAGCAATGCTGTCCCACCCCTCGCACACCCACATGTCCCAGTTGCCCTTGATCAGCTTCTTAGGCTTGGGCATCCCGGGGAACCCGCCTGCCCCCTTGCTGCTCTCGCTGCTGCTGCTCTTGTTGGAGAAGAGTGCGTTCATAGGGGCCAGCCACCGCGCTCCGCCTACCCCTCTGCTCCCCAATCCCTTCAATCCTCCTCCTCCTCCTCCTCCGCTGCCGCCTCCTCCTAAATCGGCCCATTCCTCTGCAAGCCCTCCCTTCTTCCCTCGCCGCGCTCGCTCCTTATCGGACCCTCGCACTCCTTTCAGCCTGCCACCAGCATCACCAAAACCACCAGCAGCAGCAGCACCAGCACCACCGCCGCCGCTGCCGCCGCCGCTGCTCGCACCGATCCCCTCCCCACTGCTGCTCCTGCCCACAGCCACAGCAGCGCCCCACACATGCCCGCCCGCCAGACTCACCACCTTGCTCGCCCTGGGGCTACTGGGAGCAGACGTGCCGTGAATCAAATCCCCTGCCGACACCACCGACAACGCCCCTGCTGCTCCTGCTCCTGCTCCTCCTCCTGCTCCTCCTCCTGCTCCTCCTGCCGGCACCTCCCCTTCCCCCAGTTCCGCCAGAGCCAAGGATGTGGATGCGGCTTCGTCCTTCTCCCTGTCGCGCCCGCTCTTGAAGCTAGACGACCGCCACATGGCTCGCCCTGGCGTCTGCACCTCCATGAACCGCCTCCTTGCAGGCCTCCCTGACCGCTCCCCCACACCCCCCCCACCCCCCATACCCACACCCGCTGCTGCTCCCGCGCCTGCCCCGCCCATACCTCCCACTGCTAACGGAGGCTTGAAGCCAAATCCTCTTGCACCCCCTCCCCCGTCCCCCGCTCCCCCGCCACCTCCTTCCACCCCGTATTCCCCCGGTGTCCCGTCCCCTCCATCCCCAGCCTCTCCAACACTCTCCCCCAAGTCGCTCCCCTCGTCCTCTCCTCCCCCGCCCGATTCATCATCCCCCTCTGTGGGGATCACAAGGCTCAGCGAGTTCTTCAGGGAAGGGGGGCCGTGGGAGAGAGAAGGGGGGCCGTGGGGGAGGGAAAGAGGGCGGGCTGACGTGCTGCCAGTGCTGCTGCTGCGCCTGACGAAGGAAGGAGGGAGACTCAGGCGCACAGGCGAGTCGTCTCCTGCTGCTGCTGCTGCTGCTGCTGCTGCCCCTGCTCTTGCTCCTACTCCTCCTCCTACTGCCATCCAACTCGCACCCTGACTCTTGCTGCGCACAGGGGAACCGTCACCTTCCTCCTCCTGCCATTTGCTACTAGCAGTATTGCTGCTGCTGCTGTTTGCGTGACTGCTGCCGGTACTTTCAACAGCAGCAACTGCTGCAGCTGCTGTTGCTCTCCAATCTCCGCCCCCTGCCCCTCCCCCTGCACCACCCCCCTTGTCATACCCGGGACCAAACGACACCTGCATGAGTCGAGATCCCTCAGAATCAGAGAGAGACGCTCCTCTGGAGTGAGAGCGGCGGCGCCTAGGGAACAGCGCCCCAGCAGCAGGAGCAGGAGCAGCGGGAACAGGAGCCGGCATGGGGACAGCAGCAGGGGCAGGCACAGGGAGAGGGACAGGGAGAGGGAGAGGAGGGGCAGGGACGGAGGCAGCGAGTGGCGCATGCACAGGGGATAGCCCTCCTCCTTCTCCTCCCACTCCTCCCACACCTCCGCCTCCTCCTCCTCCCCCCCTATGCTTCTCCCCACTGCTGCCAGGAGGAGGGCGGTTGGAGAAGATTGAGTAATGTGAGGAGGAGGAGGGGGTTGATGCGTCCCTTCCTCCTCCTCCTCCTCCTCCTCCCTTTTCGCCAGAGCCTCCCACTGACCCCCACCGCCGAATCAACCGCCTTCCAGGCGTCTGCACTTCAAACCCGTGCCGCTCCCACCACCCTCCTCCCCCTTCCCTCCCTCCTTCCTTTCCTCCTCCTCCTCCTCCTCCTCCTCCTCCTCCTCCTCCTCCTCCTCCTCCTCCTCCTCCTCCTCCTCCTCCTCCTCCTCCTCCTCCTCCTCCTCCTCCACCCCCACCCCCACCCCCACCCCCAGCAGCAGCAGCACCCCCGGCCTCACTGTCCCCTCCCTTGCTGCTGCCCCCACTATCCGGACCACTGTCAAACGAGGTAGGGTCGGAGATCACAAGCGACAGCGGCGCCGAGCCTCCGCTATCCGAGCCTGGGGACGAGGCTAGGCGAGACGGGGCCTTCCCTCCTGCAGAGAGCAGCAAGGCGAATTTCCGCATGAGCTTCTTTGAACCACCGCCCGAAGCACCAGCACCAGCAACACCACCACCACCACCATCAGCAGCAGCAGCAGCGGCAGCAGAAGAGGAGGAGGAAGACATTGCGTCGGCGTCGTCGTTATCATCTGATGTGGCGCTGATGCTGGTCGGGACAGTGGGGTGGTGCCGATTCGCCATGGCAGCAAGAGCAGCAGCCGTGTCCACACTGACAGAACACGGCAGGGGACCGCCCCCCATGCTAGCACGAGCAGCAGACGCAGGCACAGGGAACCGAGCAGCACCAGCACCAGCAGCACCACCGCCAGCCTCAGCGCCAGCAGCAGAAGAAGAAGCAGGGAAGGAGCGGACGAGTGCGAGCGTGCCGACGACAGCTCTTGGGTCGGGCACGGGGCGGCAGGGCTGTAGCGTGAGATCCACACTGTAGCCCGCTAGATTGCCCCTCAGGGACTCCGGCAGGGAGAAGCTGTAGCGTTGGGAACGGAGAGGAAGGTGTGGGTGGGTGGGGGGGAGAGAAGGAGGGGACGGTGACGTGAGTTAGTGGGTGGGGTAGAGAGAGCGAGTGTGTGGGTGTTGGATGGTCGCTTCAATCAGTGTTGGGTAGTGGCGCTGGGGCCTAGTCAGGTGAATGCCCTGGAAGCTTTTGTTTCTGACGTAAGCTGTGGTTTCTTATTTTCATGCAACTTGCATCACACATTGCACATATGCCACTGCAACTTGTGTCACATAGGCAGGTTCCTCCTCCCCTACTCGCACTTACCCCAGCTTTACCACACAACCCCCTCTAACCCCCACCTATCTCACGTCCTCTCTCCCCACCCACCCCTTCCGCCCCGTGCATTCCCCACCCATACCACTTCCTTCCATCACCCACCCCTTCTTCCCCCACGTTCCTGCCCCTCCCCATCCCCTCAGCAAATAGCACACCTCCACTCCCATCCCCATCCCTCCCGCTTCCCCCCGCTCGCCCCCCTCTCCCCCTCCCCTCACCGCAGCACAGCAGTGCCCCCCTCGCCCCCCCGCGAACAGCTTTTGAGTCGACTCAAAATGCCCCTTCTTAGCCCCTAACTCTCCTCCCCTCACCGCAGCACAGCAGTGCCCCCCTCGCCCCCCGCGAACAGCTTTTGAGTCGACTCAAAATGCCCCTTCTTAGCCCCTAACCCTCCTCCCCTCACCGCAGCACGGCAGTGCCCCCCTCGCCCCCCGCGAAGACGTCCGCAACGGCGGAGCGCCACTGCGCCATGCGCACGCCCTGCGCCACGTCCAGCAGCGACACGTCCGCCAGCTGCTCGCGACTCAAGCCCACCGCTGCCACCGCGGACCCGCTCGCCTGCGGAGGGGAGTATGAGTGTGTGGGATGCGCGGAACGTGCGGGGATGCGCGGAACGTGCGGGGACACGCGCGCGCACGCGCGGGGAACGAGCGAGGGGCGCCCGGGGACGCGCGGGGGACGAGCGGAGAGGGAACAAGGAAGGGGAGAGGAAGGAGGGGGGGGGGTGTAAACGGGACGTGACGGAAGGGAGCGACGGAGTGGGAAGTGCATTGGTGAATGAGGAAAAAGGATGTATGAAAAGGGCAGAAGCAGATGAAAAAAGTGGGTACAGAAGGAGACTCTGTAACTGGTGGGTTTGCAACTTGTAATCTCAGTCTGCTACCTTGTCTGTATGCATGCAGTGCAGGCAAGCAAAACATTCTCTTCGCGTCTAGTGTTCGGCATCGTTCCCTAATCATTCTCCTTCCTTGCCAGTTTCCGATCGACCACCGTCACGTCACCATGTGTTGCACACACACGCGGCACGTGGCAAGCACACAAATCACAAAGCGACGAGGCGAGCCGCACCTGTACGACGCGGCCCGTCCAACGGTCCAGCAGCATCATCATGGCGCGCGATTGCCCCACAAACACGCTCGCGTGCGACGACGACAGCGGGGGAAGCGCGGGCCCGGGTAGCGCGGCGGACGGCGGAGCATTGGCGGAAGGCGCCGCGGGGAAAGGGGGGGAAACGGTGGACGCAGGAGGCGGGTAACTGGGAGCGGGATTTCCGGCGGAGTACGAGGGGTGGACGGGCGACAACGTCGGGGAGTTAGTGGACAGCGAGCGCGTGAACACCGGAACCCGGCCTCCGCCGCTTCCGCTTCCGCCTCCGCCTCCACCTCCGCCGCGAGTACCCCAGCTGTCAGTGCTATCACCACCACCGCCGCCTAAGGCGCTGCTGCTTCGCGCAGACATCTCCGCCGCCTCTCCTAAAAGAGGCGCTGGCGGAGGGGTCCCCATTGCGCGGACGGTTGACGGAGGGCCGGGGGAAGAAGAGGGGGAATACGACTGGTTGCGGCGGCGCTGCATTGCCGCGAGATGCGGGGGGAGGAATTGGTGAGGGGAAACGGGGCCAGTGGAAAGAGAAGAGGAGGAAACCGACGGCGCCGCTACTAGCAAGTCGTTGCTGCTGCTCCGCCGCCCGCCTAGGGCGGAATTGCCTCCGCTTCCGCCTCCGCCTCCGCCTAAGTAAGGGGAGCTGCTATTGGAAGAGGTTCCGCCAGCGAGAGAAGAGGCGGCTAAGCTGCCGCTGCTGTGGGAGGAATGGTGGTGCGGACGAGGCATGGACGGACCCGGGGAACTCTCGACAGAATCCATTAGCGAGCTTCGCAAACGGTCGCTGTTACCAGACTTGTCGCCGCAGCTGGTGTCACTCCCTTCGCTTAACCCAGCTTCCGGAAAGTCGGCCAGCGATACCGCGGCGGAAGCGGCTACAATGCAGTGATGGTCTTGGTTATCTGTGATCGCCGGGACGTTAGAGCGTCGCTTAGTACGATCTGTAGTGCGACGGGAAGGATCGAATGTGTTTTTTGCGAATTCTCAAAAAATACAATGCAGTGGTCTCGGTTATCTGTGATCGCCGGGTGGTTAGAGAGCCTGTTGGTATGATCTGTAGTGCGACGGGAAGGATCGCAGACGGTGGATACTGATGAAGCGATGATTGCGCGTGCGGAATGGAATGTAGGGCTGCGGGCCATTGAGAGGGTTTCGGAGAGAGCGAGAGGGGTAGAGAGAGAAAGATAGAGAGAAACAGAGCGAGAGAGAGAGCAAGAGGGATCGAAGGCGGCCGACGAGCACCACGATTACTATCTATGTTACAACTCTCATGGCACCCGCAAATGCCGCTGAATTCAGTCAATGTCAGCGAACCCGCGAGGCTCGGGTGGAAGAGCGTAGGCGACACCCGCACCGGGGCTGGCGCCAGGGGTGGAAGAGCGTTTGCGGCATCGGCCTTACCACGTGTTTGACCTTCCAATGGCGAATGGACCTCTAAGCGTCAGGAAGAACGCCGACTAGCATGTCATGTGAGGTAAAGCCAGGTTTTGTGGTTGGTTGGTGATGGCAATGGCTCCTCTCCCTCTCCCCCTATGACGACATTATCCTGATGAATGCCGGCTTGTCGGAGCCCAACGCTGTGTTTCGGATACAGTACATTCATCAACCTTGGTTGGATACAGTGCAATCCGATGTGAAATGACTGCGTGCGACAGAATCCTAGAAGGCTGGAGGCTTGAGAATGGGTTACAGTACGGAGCAGGGTAGACTGAACCTGGAGTAGGAAGCAGATGCAGCAGCAAGACAGTGAACCGGACACGTGGGATGGCCTGGAAGGATGAGGTGAGGTGGTTGGTTTGGAGGTGTTGGCTTTTAACGAATATAAATTGGTGGAGGGGAGACGTGTGTGTGAATGTTGTTAGATGCTGTTGTCTGTACATGTACAGTCGTGTCACAGTACACTGACTGCTGCAACTCGCGGGCCTGAGGGCGGTGGGGACCCTGCTCCTGCTCCCCTCCTCCTCAGATGTCAACGCCCGGAACCCGGCTTGGTGTGGGTTGGGTTCTGTTTGCACACAAGGAGCTACTGCACCTTACCGCTGTGGAATTTGATGGGCAGGTCGACTCACGTAAAAAAACTGGCCGAATCGTACTGGCATTTCAGGGCAAACGGTGACCCTCGGTTCAACTGTACGCTCTTAGGGCGTGTGTGATATATTTTCAAGTTCTAAAAAAATTTAGAACTTTGAGTGGTTACCAGCTTCGCCAATGGTGTCATGAAGCTTTGGCGAAAGCATGAGAATTTTGGGGGCACATAAGTGCGAATGTCAAATGTGAACTCAACTCGAATCACACGGGTGAACGTGCGGGTGCACGTGAGGCGAGCGTGTGTTGTTGTCAGCACGTACGAATGCCACCCGAAAATCACGACTGCTTTGCGAAGGTCGCGGAGTTTCGTAGCGCATTACGTTCACGTGTCGCGCTGTACCAGGTAACCTACACCCCCTACGGGCGGCTCGCCGCCTTCCCTAAAAGGTCGAATCTCTGAGTTCGACCTTGGGTGTGTGATTGTGACTCGTCTGTGTTGGAGACCCAAGATTCGAACTTCGCTGCAAGGAAAGTCGAGTTTTGTTCAAATGCTACATTCGACCTAAAAACATAAACTTTCACAAATTTGTAAGACCACACGCGCCCTTAGTTGCACCTGGGACAAGAGAAGCAGGAACGGGCCAGAATCCATTCCCGTCATGCATCTACTTCTGCACACTCTGAAAATCAAGTGCCACAACAATGTAGTAAAAATGTTTATATTCTATGAATCATATAGACTCATGGATGCCCATAGCTAGCAGAGTTATATCTAAAACAATATTAAGAGCATAGAGATTCTATAATTGTGTTGCACATAAGCACATATGATGATATGGGTTCATAGCCTATTAGTGCATATTATTATGCTGTTCTTTGGTTAGTGTACTACAATCACCTTAGCCGGAATCAGTCAGATGGTTGTGATTTTTGAACAGGTGTGCCTAACGGGAAGGTTGCGCGAGAACCAGGGAATTGCATTTTGAACGGCTAGTCAAACCTAGATTTCGGATTATTAGGTTTGGCGCCGACATTGCTTTGGACGTCTCCATGCCATGCTAACTGGTCTGGCCTCTTTGGTTTGTCTACCTTTTCCTTAAAATCAGCCAACGGTCTGGTCTGGCTCTCGCACCATGAATCCACCTTGGTGTACTTCTGGTCTGGGGCACGGCCAAATCGCCAAACTAGCTCCTCGTTACAGGCTCTCTCAACCAATCATATATCCTCCGCCCCCCAAATCGGGAGTCGTGACGCCACATTTTCCTTGAGAATCTTCCCGCTTTCGGTTTGGGTGATGTTTGCTGCGTTGGTCCTGACGTGGGGTAAGACACCCAGGACAAGAAACTCCTGTGTCAACTCCTCTCTTCTCACACATTCACACATTCACACAACACTCACACATACACACTCACCCACCCACTCATCCACCCTCCAACAACTGTCCCATCATTGTGTGGTAGCCAAGCGTTGTGCGTGCGAGAGTTTAACCCAGGTCCCCAGCAGCATGGCTGAACCTCGATCCTGACGAACCTGTTTGCTGAGCCAGGACAGGATTTTGACCATCGATTCTCGAAAAACGATCCCCGCATTTCGTAGGCCTGTAATCTGCGTCCTCCATAGTTCGCGAGCGGGGAATGTGACCAGGAAGGATGTGCTCTTTTCATTTCCCCACTGCATCGCGAGGTCGAGTTGCTAAGTCTGATAGTCAATTTTAGGCAGTCCGAGAAATCAACACGAAGCAATGGCGTAGTTGAATGAGTAGCTCTCAGTACCCAGCTTGACTTCTCTGAGTCGTCAGAACCAGTCCGCAAGTTGTGCGAGGAATCTGGAGCTTGGATGCGCGAATACCACGGATCATGAACTGTGCATGCTTCCGCGGCATATTTGGGAGGTGCGAAACCTCACTTGGACCAGAACCCGTTAGCCATGATGTTCCAAATTCTGAGTCCTCTCCGTTCAATCTGTGTAGTTTAGCTAGAGCAGTAGACGAGCAACTGATTTCACCTGGCTTGCCTATATCCATTTCTGAATCTCTTTCTGTTTCACGTGCAGTTCGTCTTCAAAAGAGCCACCACCTAAGGAGGAGCAGGAGCCAAAGCCTCTCGAAGCTCCGCCTCCTGTTCTCCCCCCTCCTGCTCCCCCACCCCCTCCTCCTCCACCTCCTCCGCCTCCCCCGCCTAAGGGCCCCCCTCCCCCTCCTCCTCTCAAGGCGCCTGGCTTCAACCGCGCAAAACCAGCAGTGCCACTGAAAGGATTCCACTCCACCAAAGTCCATGACACTGCGGGAACCATCTGGGGGGAAATTGCCAAGGATTCCGAGTTTTTGCGCTTGAAATTAGATGAACAAACGAAGGAACACCTGCAGGTGGTTTTCCGCGCCAAGGAGGCGAAGGTTAAGATCGGGGGGAATCAGGTCCCCGGGGGGGGATCAGGGGCGGGGAGGGGTCAGGTAGGGGGAGCGAATGGCGGAGGAGGGGGAGGGGGAGGCAAAGGGGACGGGGTGGTTTGCATCGTGCCTGTGCAGCGGGCGAACAACGTGGCGATTATGCTTTCGCAGTGTCGCATGCCGCACGGAGTGATTCGCGATGCCATCATGGGTGGTAACCAGAAGGGTGTGCTGTCGCTGGAGCGACTGGACCTTCTACAGCAGGTGAAGAAGGGCGAGGAAGTATCGGAAAGAGGCAGAGCGAGAGGGGGTGGCGGGAAAGTGCGAGGATGGGATGCTTGGGAGGATGTGCGGCAGTAGAGCAAAATCAACGGACAGAGAGAACCAATAAGTCTCGTTCGTTTACATTCTCCCCACCTCTTCCCTTCCCTTCCATCCCTCCCACTCTCCCCTTCATTTCCTTTCTTCGTCAACACTATGTCCTCCCACCAATCCTCCGTCATTTCCACCTCAATTCCGTCACCCACACCCTCCCCCCCCCCCTCTTTCTCCCTGACCCTCTTCCCCCGTCTCCCCAACCATCTCCCCCCCCGTTCCCCCTCCCTCACCCTTCCCCCCTCCCCGTCCTCCCTGCAGGTGATCCCCAACGACGACGAGGTGAGTCAGCTGCAGGCGTACACGGGCCCCGTGGACGCCCTCTGCGCGCCCGAGCAGTTCCTCCTCACCCTCGCCTCCATCCCCCGCCTCCGCGACAAGATCGAGGTCCGTCAGCTGTCAGCGTCGTGGTAAAGAATAAGTAAAGTAGTCAGTTAGTCAATCAGTCACGTAGTCATTCAGTCAGTCGGTCAACGTCAAGGTCGGCCAGTCCAGTCACTCATAGTCAAGGTCGGCTGTCAGCTAGTCCGTCAGTCAGCCAATATGCAAGGTGATGACATGTGCTGAGACATGATGCCTCCTGCGCATCTCAATCGCAGTGCCGCCTGCAAACACTCTTCTGCCCTGTCTGCTCGTCTCACCTGCTGCCTCCTTCACTCCCTGCCCCTCCGTATGTGCACGTTTGCCCGTGTGCCCGTGTGTCCGTGTGTCCGTGTGTCCGTGTGCGACCAGGTGCTCGTCTTCATGCTACGATTCGCTGACCTGCACAAGCAAGCGCACACCATCATGGCCACCGTCACACGAGCATGCCAACAGGTCCGCTCCAATCCCACATGCTGCCAACGCATCCCCTCCCCGAATACTCGTTTCACGTTTCCCCTCCCATGCCATGATACCACGTTTCACGCCCTCCCTCCCAGCCTCCTGACGCCCACTCTCCCTTCCCACCCTCAGTGACCCTCTCAAATAAAACTTTCCGTCTCGTCCCAACGCCACTACTTCTACCTTGTCCTCCGCGCCTGTTTGCGTTCTCTCCCCGGGCGTGGGTGCGTCAGGTGCACAGCAGCAGGGCGCTGAAGGCGTGCTTGAAGGTCGCTCTGGAGTACGTCAACTTCCTCAACCATGGCACTGCACGAGGTGCGCCAACCCTGCTGCCGGATTTTTTTAAGAATTCTTTGAGTTTTTTTTTAGAATTCTCAAAAACTCTTTGAAGGTCGCTCTGGAGTATGTCAACTTCCTCAACCATGGCACTGCACGAGGTGCGCACGCCAACCCTGCTGCCAACCTGCTGCTGCTGCTGGTGTTGCTGCTGCTTCTCCGGCTATTGCTGCTCCTGCTGCTGATCCCGTATGCCTAGCACGAGACGCCATCAACCACACAAGAAACCAGCCGTCATTCCATCAGTCCACTGAAAGCGCATTTACCCTCTTCGCAGTCCCCGTGTTTACCCCTTTCTCTACTTTCTGCCCTCCTTTCCCCTGCATCACCACCCCCCACCCTTGCACCATCACCCTCCAGCCGGAGCCGCTGGATTCAACGTGGAATCTCTGCCAAAGCTCTTCGACCACAAGACCACCGTCACCCTCCCTCCACCCCTCCCTCCCAGCACACCCAAACCCGACTCCTCCAACTCCCTTCTCACCCCAGTCCAGCGCCCTGTGCCCCGTTCCCACTCCCACACTGACTCCACACAAATCAAATCCCCTCCTGGTATCCAAATTCAAATCCCACAAGACCACTCCTCCTCCCTTCCCATCCACCAATCCGCCTCCCTTCCCTCCCTGCACAACCATCCGTCTACCTCCCAGCCGCCCCCAACCACGCCCCTCCCTCCCGCCGCTCTCACGCCTGCAGCAGCCGCTCTTTCCCCAAGGCCCATGTCTCCTCGTGCTGCTGCGTTCTCCCCGAAAGCGGTTGCAATGGCAGCAGCAGCAGGGGACGCGGATGCTCTGAGCAGTGCCATTCTGCGCGCGTCTTGCCTGCTGGAGGTGGTCGTGCTTCGCCTCGCTGCCACTGGCATCGTCAATCCGCCCTTTGAAATGAGCAAGGAGATGGAGGCTGTTGGGCTCGCTGCTAAGTACTCGCAGGTAGGAGTTGGGCTCGGCACAGGAATGAAAGGTGAGAGGGATGACTGGGGTGGGTGGGGGGAGGGTGATTGGAAGGGTTGGAGATAGAGGTGAGGTGGAACAAAAGGTCATATGGCATATACGCGAAGCTGTTCCCATTTGTGAGTGCTGTCCCTATTTTCGCCTCCTATCTGCCCCGTTTCAACTCCTCTTTCCGCCTTCCATTTCGCATCCCATTCTGCGACCCTTTGGCAGGACGAGATAGACTCCTCGCTGGCGCCCATGGACCAGGGCATAGGCATAGTAGAGCGAGAACTCGCCTTCCTCATCCGCGATGAGGAGGCAGCAGCAGCCGCAGAGGCAGAAGCCAAGGCAGCAGCTGAAGCTGCTGCTGCTGCCGCCGCCACCGCTGCTGCCGCTGCTGCTGCTGCAGCTGAAGCAGGTGGCGACGTGGTTGCAGAAGCACCAGCAGGGTCAGAAGCAGCGCAAGGGGGTGTGGCGGCAGGGAGGAAAGGGGGTGCTAGCTCTAGGCGAGGTTCGGAGGAGGAAGCAGGGGGCGAGCTGCTGTCTCAGCAGGCAGCAGCTGTGGCTGCAAAGCAGTCGTTACGCATAGGAGCAGTGGAGAGGGAGAGCTGTGACTCGGAAGTAAGCTCTGGGTCTGTGACTGGTGGAGTTGCAGCCTCGTGTGCCGGGCCCTGCTTTGCCAAGGAGAAAGGGAAGAGGCGGTCAGTGTTTGGAGTGACGTCTCGTGTGAGAGGTGCGAAGAAGGAGAAGGGGAAGGAGGTGGCGGGGAAGGGTCAGGCGGCAGTTCGAGGGGCGAAGGGGCAAGCGAAGGTGCGAAGCGAAAAGAGTGCTGTCTCCAAGGGTGAAGAGATAACGGGCGGAGGCTCCACAAACAAAGACGCTGAGTCGAAAGCTCCTGGCGCTGTTGCTGCTGCTGCTGCAGTCCCTGGCCCTCTGCCCCCTCCTCTCGCACCTTCACCTCTTGCTGCCCCTCCTCCTCCCCCGCCTCCCCCTCCTCCCCCTCGTCCCTCTCCTCCCCCACCCCGACCTCCCCCACTTATAGCCCAACCACAGCAGAAGCAGCAAGGCAGACAGGAGGCGACAGAAGGGGGCAGGGGCGCCGTGTGCACGTCTGTCAGCCATGTGGAGGGGGGAGTGCACCAGGGGGCAAGTGGGAAGCTGAGGGACGTTGTGGGTGATGAGGCAACGTCAGCTCCACTCTCTGCTGCGAATTCGGTGAACAGCAGACTTGCTGCGGCAAGTGGTGCTGCCGCTATTGCTGTTGCTGCTGTGGATGCTTCTTCTGGTGCAGCTCCGCTGTCCAAGGCAGTGCCACCAGCACCTGGAGTGAAATTCGCGGCTTCGAGCAACGGGTTGAGCGCGGCTAAAGCGAACGGCGAGGTGTCATTCGTCGGGAGCGACAGTAAAGAAGGCAGCAGCGCAGAAGCAGGCAGAGGAGGGAAGGTCCGAGGAGGGAGAGGCAGAGGCAGAGGGCGAGGCCGAGGGAGAGGGAGGGGACGGGGAAGGGAAGGCTCAGGAGCAAGAACAACAGGGCGGGGGGCTGACCTGGTCTCTATAGGTCCAGAGGCGCGGGCAGAGATGGCAGCGGGAGCCTCCCTATCAGAGACAAAGGCACAGGGAGAGAAAGCCCCGGCGCTGGGTTCTCGGCGGCTCAACCCATCAGCATCGTCGTCTGGGCGTGGGCCAGTGAAGCCGATGCCTATCCTTCGACTGGGATCCATCCACGAGCAGGATGAGAATGCTGATCCCACTCCCGCCCCTCCCACAGGCTCCTCCTCCGCTCCTCCTCCTCCTGCTCCCTCCCCTCTCCCTGCTCCTCCGCTTTCTCCTGCCCCTCTTCTCACCTCCACAGCTAGTGCTAACCAAGCCCCACTTGGTGCTAACACGAGTAGCAACAGTAACAGCCACAGTAGCAGTAGCAGCAGCGGTGGCGGCAGCACCATTGCAGCTGTCTCCACACCTGTGCCCTGCCGCACGGATCTTGGGGATTGTTCCAACCCGCAGCTTGATGTCACTCCAGGGCAAACCACGACTACTACGCCAGGACTCGCCTTTGGTACGCCGATTGCTGTAGCGCCTCCCTCTGCTGGTTTTACTGGCCAGAGCCGCTTGCTGCGTGCTGCGGGCGGCAGTGGGCCGTTCAGGCTTATGAGCGAGCTCAGGGACTCGAGCAGCAGCGGCAGCAGCAGCAGCAGCAGCGATGGTGGTGATGAAGAGGAGGAGGAGCAGCAGGAGGAGCGTGAGAGGACCGGCAATGGCACTTTGGTGCATGGTGCTGATGGTGGGGGGGTGTTGTCTAGCGGGGAAGGGTGGAGTGGTGAGCTGAGTGGTGGAGCAGGGCACAGGATAGCACGAGGGGGCGGTGGGGGCGGGAGGAAGAGGTCGACACGGCCAACGTGCGTGGTGTACCGAAGGAGTCCGTTTGACGGGGCTATCACCCCCTCCCCGGGCACCAAACGCGCGTGGTCCGAAGGCAATCTGCTTGTTCGGCCCGAGTTTCTTCTACGGGGTTCTGCACTGAAGCCAGGGGTAGCAGAAACAGGGGCAGCAGGTGGGGCAGAAGGACGCGGAGGAGGAGGGGGGGAGGAGCAGGGGGGATCAGAGGGGAATGTGGAAGGGGAGACGTCTGTCTCTGGGCCCATGCAAGGGGGAGAGGATGGAACTGAGGTGACGCAGGAGCCGGGTTGTGGGAATGAGCAGGGCTGGGAGGAGGAGCAGCTGGCGCCTCGGAAATCCCTGCAACCATTGTTTGGCAGCTGCACCTCTCCTCCGGAAGCTGTGACTGGGAGTTCCAACCACTTGGGCTGTCACGCTGCTGCTGCTGCTGCTGCTGCTGCTGCTGCTGTTGCTGGCAGTGGTGGCGGTGTGGGCACTGAAACCATTGGCAGCAGGAGTAGCAGGCGAGGATCAGGTAGGGGCGTTGTGAGGAGGCACAAGAAGGGCACCAGCGGCAACGCTGCCGCTGCTTTTGGTGGTGGTGCTGCTGGCATTCGTAGCAGCGGCCGGATCCTCCCACGCACCCACAGTGACCCAACTCAGCTTGAAAGTCTCGCCTTTCACGAGTTCCTGAAGGAAGTGAGTGCCTCGCGCTCTGCTGCGTGTGAGTGTGGTAGCGGCCTGTGTGCCTGTAAGGGAGGTCACAGTAAGAGGAGGAGGGGTGATGGGCCTCGTTCTCTGCTGGCGCATGGAAGTCGCAGCGTGTCTGTCACAGAAACAAGCCTTCACCGTACTGCCCACTCTGCTGTCACCTCCGCTGCCGTCTCTGCTGCTACTGCTGCTGCTGCTGCTGCTGCTGCTGCTGCTGCTGCTGCTGCTGCTGCTGCTGCTGCTGCTGCTGCTGCTGGTTCTGCTGCCTTGTTCCGTACACCAGCTCCAGCAGCTGCAGGAAGAGGAGGAGCATCAGCAGTAGTGCAAACAGCTACAGACGAGGCAGACGCAGCAGCAGCAGCAGGCACAGCAGCGGAAGCAGCAGAAGCAGAAGCGAAGCCGCTGCGGCGGTTGCAAGTGGCAGAGGAGCTTGAGCGACTGCTGAGGACCCCTCCTCGCAGTGCTGCTGCTGCTGCTGTTGCTCCTGCTGCCTCTGCTGATTCTTATGCTGTCACTAGCATCTGCTCTGCTCCGCCTGGAATGCAAATTATGAGCAGGTACGGTACAGAGGAGGTGGAGTGCGGTGAAGAGGCGTGCAGTGCGTTGGTGGGAGTGGGGGGCGGTGTAAGCAAAGGGGTGATGGAAGGGAGAGCGGGAGCGGAGGGTGGAGCAGGTGGCATGAGGGAGGTGAGATCATCTGGCAGGTTAAGAGTCAGGGTACCAATGAGAGAGGCGTGTGATGTGGTAGGGGGAGGTGGGATCAAGGAAGGGTCCGGAGATGCAAAGGGGGAGGGGTCAGAGAGTTTGGGTGGGGAAGGGGGTGCGACTGGTGGGGCTGGTGATGGCTCTGGCAGTAAGGATGCAGCTAAGGAGGGGGGACGGGAAGGTGGTGGCAACCTTACCTCTCAGCAAGGGAAGGGAGCAAATGAGGCAACTGAAGAGATCGAGGGGACTGGAGCAGAACGAGCAGAGGATGAGGAGGAGGAGGAAGAGGTGGGGGAGGAGTGTGACGAGGATGACGACGAGGAGTGGGATGAGGAATGGGATGACGAGGAGGAGGAAGAAGACGAGGAGGAGAGGGACGATGCGTCAACAGAGGAGGGGAGGAGGGAGCTGTCGCTGTGCGAACACCTGACAGCGTTCTTAGACAAGGCGCGCCCGGAGAGGGAGAGGCTAGCAGAAGAAGCAGCGAATTGCAGGTATGGACGATGGCTTGCTACTGTGTGTGCCAAGGGCTTCTGCCTCCTGCATTTCCCCGCTCTCTGGCACCTAACTTGCATTTGGATCCTCCCGGTTATGCGCTGATGCCTTGCCTGCCTGCATGCGTGCATGTGTGTGTGTCCATGTGTCCATGTGTCCATGTGTGCATGTGTGTGTGTCCATGTGTCCATGTGTCCATGTGTCCATGTGTGCATGTGTCCCATCCCATTCCTCAGGGAGCAACTGAAGGCCCTCGCGAAATATTTCGGGTCCTCAGCATCTGTAACACCACAGGTACGGCTCGTGAGCTCTGCCTCTACACTAGATGTTTCTTTCCAGCATTACCGGTACCCCTCCACCCCCCCCCCCCCCCCCCCCTGACCATTCTGTTCGGTCACTCACTTGCTCACTCGGCAATTGGGGTCGCATGATGAAGTCGCTGTCGCCCCTGACATGCTGCTTCATCTCTGGTTGTGTATGTGGTATGTGTGCCATTGCCTGATTTGATTTGTCACAGGCTGTGCTTGGGACCATTTGGCAGTTTGCTCTGCTCTACGACAAGAGCCAGCGCTTGAGTGGCCTTCTCTGATTGCCTTGCTCCGAGGAGCTTACCACACACGTTATTGATTAAGCCCATCTATTCTTAGTGCCTCGGCATTCTTGTTCACCATAAACAAATATTCAGGCGGAATTACTACTGTCATTGTCTTTCTAATTCCTACCTCTCCCTTCTGATGGGGCATTGGTTAGAAAGTGATACGACTATATACCACATACTGCACACACTGGCAGCCTGAACAGTATATAGCATCCTCCTAATGTGTTATTGGTGGGGCATTGGGCTAAACTCTAAACCCTGGCAGTGCATTTAGGCCTAGCTGGTAGGACACTAGAATCTGGATTAGTAACTGAACACAAACCGAAACGATAGCCTTTATCACATCAGTCCATCTATATCACACAGTGAAACCCGCAGCAAAGCGCTAGCTCCACTCTCCTCCATCCATCCCAATTCCTTCCCACCATATTCCTCTCCACCACTCCATTCCCTTCACTCACACGTCTGGTAGAGGCACACCTGTACCACTCATGTCCCCTGTTTTCCCCGGCTCTCTGGTATTCCACAAGCTGCTCACGCTCCCTATGCTCCCAGAGTTCATCGACGCGAGCACACTCACCATCGTCTCACTGAACTGCCTCTGCTCCTGCATCCTCTCCTTCAACTCTGCATCCACCACCTTGTGAGACTTATGCACCTTTTCCTCTCCACCACACACCTCGGATCGAAGCGCCTCCATCTCCTGGGCTATGCGGCCCATGGAAGGGCGATCGGCAGTGAAGGTGGCAGTGCAGCGTATGGCCAGGTCTAGTATGCGCTGCAGGGCGTCTGGAGGGGCGTCTGGAGGGATGGGGCCCATGCGGGGATCTGCAATCTCCTCTACTGACCCCTGAGCCAGCTTCTCCCGGACATGTAATGGAAGGGGTGGGTGGAAGGGGGTGGGATGCGGTGGAAGGAGGTGAGAGGAGGTAGAGAAGGGGCTTTGGTTGGAGCTGATGGGATTGGGTGGGGAGTGGGAGGGTGGGGAGGGGGGGTGAGGGTGTAGGACAGAGGTGAAGGAATGAGGTGAGAGGGAAAACGAGAAGGGGAGAGAGCGACAGAGAGAAAGAGCGTTAGAGAGAGAGAGAAGGAAGGGGAGGAAGGGGGTGTGCGTACCCATTCGAGGATGTACCAGGAGCGACCATTGTCCTCAAAGGTGGCATGCTTGCCTGCGAGCACTACCAACATGAGGATTCCGAAACTGCAGCACAGATGCACATGTGCACATGCACACACAGGTGCACGCACACATACATTCACACGCACAGGCACCCACACGAACATGCACACTCACACAAACAAACATACATATGCACATACAGAGACGCATGAACACACATCACACAAGGAGGAATCGGAAATGTGTGGCCCAATTAGTGAAGCAGATTAGCAAACTGATTCACCATGCGACTACATAAATGAGACTCTAGCCTGTTTAACACATGCCCTGTACACCAAAGCTGAAAACATAATGTTTTTTAGCCTGCTGATACACCTCCGCACCTGTACACATCAGTGGCAGGAGTGGCCTTCTGCGTGCGAGAGTAAGCCGGGTCCACATAGCCCGGTGTGCCCATCACTCGCGTGGCTTGCACAGTGGTGCCCCCCTCCACTCGCACGAGACCAAAATCAGCCACCTTGGGCTGTTGAGAGGGATGATAGGAGCGAGCACAGGTGGGTGGGTGGGTGGGTGGACTGACGGACAAAAGCAAAACAAGGCAGCAGACAACCCTGCTGCTTCTTAAAACCAGGGTGCACATTCACCTGAGTGGGCATCAAAGGTTAACCTTTGATGTCCCCGTTACGTGGTGTTCGTTCAACCTGGGAAGCCAGATTTCGCCCTTCCCCCCCAATCTATGTTCCCCCCTCTCTCGCAATTTCGTTTCCCTTCTCCTGCAATTTCTGAATGTGTACCCTGGTTTTAACTGGCTGCTTCCTTGCAGCCTAATCACCTGCATGTTGGCGTCCAATAGAATGTTAGCGGGTTTGATGTCGCGATGCACGATGTCAAAGCCATGCAGGTACTCAAACCCGCGCGCTGCTCCTACTATCACGTCCAACCGCTGCTTCAACGTCAGGGGTGTGGGCGCGTCTGCACAGCCGTGCACATAGGAATGGAGGGATAAGTAGAAGAGAGGTTGCTTCAATGTGAGATTATGTCATTTACATACGATTATTATTTTTAATTTCTGAGAATTTCGGGCAAGATTTTCCAAAAAAAAACAAAAAAAAAAACCCTGACCAAAATAATCAAAAGTTTCAGGCAAAACTTTCGACAGCAAAATTTTAGCCAAAATTTGTGAAAACTTCGGCAATATCTTGCACCCAGGTAGATACCTCACCCCTCACCTCTCCCTGACGGTGAGGACCCCACTCCACCTCCCACCTCCCTTCCTCTCCCCCACCTTTGCCGAGCCACTTGTCAAGGTCGCCATTGGAAATGAACTCGTAGACGAGGATCTGCTCGATGCGCTCCCGCAGGTCCCCACACGTGGCGTAGCCCAGCAGGCGCACCAAGTTGGGGTGGTGCTTCGTTGCCATCTCGCTCACCTGAGGAGGTGGCGAGGAAGGAGGGTGAGTGGAGGGGAGAATTGTGAGGGAGGGGGTGGAGGGGGAGGAGAGGAGCAAGATGAGGGGTTAGGGTGAGGGGGGTGGAAGGAGGATAGGAGGATGAAAAAAGGAGGATGGGAGGAGCACAGCTCTCTGCCCGCTACTTGTGTTTAAATGAAAGGAGGATGGGAGGAGCATGGCATACGAAACGCATCGGAATGGCACTCGACAGGAAAACAAAGGTGGCAGGCACGGATCTACTCTTGTGCTCTCAACTCAAATGGGTGCATCACTGCTTTTCTCTCAAGATGGCGCATCAATCAATCAACCCTATGATGGAAAACAAAGGTGGCAGGCACGGATCTAAAAGGCCCACTCTATTGCGCTCAATATATGGCGGCCCACCCACACACGCACCTCCCGCTGGAAGTCGTTGGTGATCACTTTGGCGCGCTTCACAGCCCACAGCGTGACACCATCGTCGGGACACACGCCCTTGAAAACGTCCCCGAAGCCCCCCGGCCCCAGCAGGTTGGCGTTCGACCAGTTGTTGGTGGCCTGCTCCATCTCCCTCATCGTATATTCCACACACACGCCCTTCGCCAACGCTCCTGCATCGTGCCCATGGTGGTGGTGGTGGTGGTGGTGGTGGTGGTGGTGGTGGTGGTGGTGGTGGTGGTGGTGGTGGTGGTGGTGGTGGTGGTGGTGGTGGTGGTGGTGGTGGTGGTGGTGGTGGTGGTGGTGGTGGTGGTGGTGGTGGTGGTGGTGGTGGTGGTGATGATGCAAGTGGGAGTGATGACAGGGAGACGGGGATGTTGTGAGCTGTGAGTGGTAGTATGCACTGGATGGACGGGATGGGTTCACGATGCCGTGCTTGCGCAGCTGAACAAGCGCGAGCGAGTTCTACCAAACTGCCCCATGCCTGCCTGCCTGCCTGCCTGCCCGCCCGCCCGCTCGCCCACCTACCTGCCAGCCTGCCCGCCGGCCTGCCTGCCTGCCCGCCTGCCCGCCCGCCTGCCTGCCCGCCTGCCCGCCCGCCTGCCTGCCTGCCCGCCTGCACGCGATCTCTGTCCCGGACTTACCAGAAGCAAGAAGTCTTACCGAGATGAGAAACCATCTCTGTCTTAATGAGCACGCCTTACCGAAGCGAGAAACCTTCGTCTTTCTCCTATGGAGGTAAAAGAGCACTCCGCCCAGCAGTGCGAGCAGCAGCACCACCACTCCACACACGATGCCAATGATCGCCCCTGTTGACAAACCGCCGCTGTTTTTGCTGCTGTCAGGTGCTGGCGGTGGGGGGTGTTGGGCAACTGACAGAGGGGGGGGGACATGGATACAAGGAGCAGGAAGCACGGAGAGAGTGAAAACTGGGGAAGAATGGCTATGAGCTCTGTGCAAGTACGAGTTTTGAGGTGGCTTGAGACGTTTGAAGAGAAGAGGAAGGTGGAGGTGTTGGAAAAGACGCTTGAATTGATTAGTTAATAAAACAAAAGGCACTCGGCCTTTAGTACAGAGAAAGTTGGGTTGAGGATGAGAAGCGAAAAGATGGAATAAATGTTAATCCAGCCAGATCTCCAATGGTGAGTTGGAAGACTGGTTGAATGAAGAGGAAATCCCAACCAAAAAAGGTTGGGACGTGCAAGAGCAAGCACACACGGGAGGGTTTTGAGAGGAGGGGGCAGGCCGTGAGGGAGGAGTGAGGAGGGAGGGGAACGGGGGGAAGTAGGGAGTGGGGGGGTTCAACGTGAGGGGAGGGGAGAGGAGGGGAGATTGTTCCACCAGCGCTGCTACATATCACCAGCAGCACAGCACAGAACAGCACAGCACATCAAAGCACGAGCCTTACATAGCAGCAAGGTTTGTGAGGTTGCCCAAGGATGCTGGGAGGGACCCAACCATTGTTGTGTAATCCAGATAGCTGGGGGAGCCGAGGTGAGGGAGGAGGAGATGAAAGGGACAAGGAGAGGCTGTTTAAGAGGTTGCAATATCTCAAGGAAAAGGAAGGAGGAGGAAAGGGAGCTCTTGAAAATTGCATGCATCGCACTGCTGGTACATGCCAGCAGCATTCAAGATGGCACTTTGAATCCTACTACACAAGCAAGCTTCATCACCAGTTTGATTGTTTGCTAGTTAGTTTGTTGATCAAAATTCGCAGTAGCAGCTGCCTCAGCTGTGGTTGGGCCTGTGACGACCGCCCGTTGGTGCAACTGCTTTCGTGTAGAGGAAACTCGACACGAGGATGACTTGTGAGTCCCCTTGAAGTGGCGATTGGGGCGCCAACACAGATTGAGCTTGAATCTCATCTTACAGCTGCTCTAGAGTGGACATCTTGCCCAAGGATGCGGGAAGTGTGCCTGTGAAGTTGGTTACTCCGATCTGACTGGAAATGTACAGCAGCAAGGCGGTGGAGAGAAGGATGAATAAGGAAGTCAGAGAATGAGGTGAATGAATGAAGGGAGTGATTGCATGAATAATTGGGTGGATGGACAGATGGATGGTCCGCACAGAGGGAGGTTACTGATCTACTCCGCACGCAACTAGAATCTGCTGTCAAAAGTACCTTCTGAGAATTCTTAAAAGCGCCTTGATGCTCGTTGGAACTCGTTGCGGACTCAATGAGAACTCGAACTCGATGAGAACTCGATGAGAACTATGTGAGAAGACCGATGGCTTACAGCGAAGTGAGGCGAGACAGGCGTGAGATGGAGTCAGGAAACGAGCCCGAGACAGCATTGCCGTACAACGACCTGTATGCAGCAGAGGAAGCACATGCGTATGTGACATGGATGGGTGGATGGATGGATGGATGGGTGGATGGATGGATGGATGGATGGATGGATGGATGGATGGATGGATGGATGGATGGATGGATGGATGGATGGATGGATGGATGGATGGATGGATGGATGGATGGATGGATGGATGGATGGATGGATGGATGGATGGATGGATGGATGGATGGATGGATGGATGGATGGATGGATGGATGGATGGATGGATGGATGGATGGATGGATGGATGGATGGATGGATGGATGGATGGATGGATGGATGGATGGATGGATGGGTGGATGGATGGATGGATGGATGGATGGATGGATGGATGGATGGATGGATGGATGGGTGGATGGATGGATGGATGGATGGGTGGTTGGATGGAGGGATGGGTGGACGGACGGACGGACGGACGGACGGATGGATGGATGGATGGATGGATGGATGGATGGATGGATGGATGGATGGATGGATGGATGGATGGATGGATGGATGGATGGATGGATGGATGGATGGATGGATGGATGGATGGATGGATGGATGGATGGATGGATGGATGGATGGATGGATGGATGGATGGATGGATGGATGGATGGGTGGTTGGATGGATGGATGGGTGGACGGACGGACGGACGGACGGATGGATGGATGGATGGATGGATGGATGGATGGATGGATGGATGGATGGATGGATGGATGGATGGATGGATGGATGGATGGATGGATGGATGGATGGATGGATGGATGGATGGATGGATGGATGGATGGATGGATGGATGGATGGATGGATGGATGGATGGATGGATGGATGGATGGATGGATGAATGGATGGATGGATGGATGGATGGATGGGTGGATGGATGGATGGATGGATGGATGGGTGGTTGGATGGATGGATGGGTGGACGGACGGACGGACGGACGGACGGACGGACGGACGGACGGACGGACGGACGGATGGATGGATGGATGGATGGATGGATGGATGGATGGATGGATGGATGGATGGATGGATGGATGGATGGATGGATGGATGGATGGATGGATGGATGGATGGATGGATGGATGGATGGATGGACGGAGGGACGGAGGGACGGACGGACGGATGGACGGACGGACGGGCGGACAAATATATGGATGGATTCATCGGTCATTCGATCAATGCATTCCACAGGACAAAGGCACATGCAAAGGGGGTGGTGGGGGGAGTGTGTTGCAGTGCAGCAGGGAGCAGCATGAACACGGATACTGACAGGTCTTGCAGGGCACGCAGGGCTGTGAGGGAGTCGATGGGGCCACGCAGACGATTGTACGCAAGATCGCTGTTGAGGTGGGGGGAATGTGGGTGTGTGTGTGTGTGAGTGTGTTGTGTGTTGAGTCTGCTTTTGATCCGACTCAAGGGCAGATCGCTGTTGAGATGGGGAGAACGTGGGTGTGTGTGAGGGTGTGTGTGCGTCAATGTATGCGTGCGTGCGTGCATGCGCGTGGCATGGTGCCATGTGAGCATGTGCGTGGGCATGTAAGAATGTGGGCAGTTGGGATGGTGGGAATGTGTGGGAATGTGGGCATGTGGGAATGAGGCTCGATATTTGACGTCAGAGGCTCGATACTTGACGACAAATACCTTAGTGCCTGATCATCCCATCCCATCCCATGAGCTCAATTCAATCAGCAATGCTGCACTGCACCCACCCAAACTGTGGGCCCACCCACCACGAGCCCTCACGAGCCGCTTGAGCTATTTCTGACTTACTTGGCTCAAGCAGACTGTCTCTTGATTGGAACACTGGAGTGCATTACACAACACGAATGCTGCTACTACTGACTTGGCTCACGGGACCTGGACCTGCCAATCGATAGAATTCCTTCTGTGGCATCCATCCACACAGAGTACTTTCTTTGCAGGGTGTTTTTGATCTTCTGTGGCATCCACACAGAGTACCTCCTTTCTGCACTGCCCCTTCAGGCTTTAGGCATGCAGACATACATGCATGTACTGCTGTGTGCTGTACATACAGGAGAGTGAGCACGGAGAGGCTCTTGAGAGTGTGTGCCGTGTGTGCCGTGTGTGCCGTGTGTGCCGTGTGTGCCGTGTGTGTTGTACGTACAGGAGAGTGAGCACGGAGAGGCGGGACAAGGTGGATGGAATGTCGGGTCCTATGTGGTTGAAGGCCACTTGCCTGTGGGAAGGAAACAGCATGCACACACACACACACGGCGTGCACGAACACACGCACATGCACACGCACACGCAGGCATGGTGAGGAGATGGGTAGGTAGGTTGAAGCAGGCATGGTGAGTAGATGGGTAAGTATGAGGCAATTGAAAGACGGGCAGGGGAAGGGGATAGATATCATGCAGGCATGGTGAGGAGATGGCAGAACAGGATAGGGTGACAGCGGGTGGCAGGACAGTGAGTGAACTGGGCATATGAGAGTGTGAGAAAGCAGTTGAGGCGAGGCGAGGTGGGGTGCGGTGCGATTCTCACAGGGTCTCGAGCTTAGGGAGTTTTGAGAGGGCTTTAAGAGAGCCTTCAAACGAGTTGTTGAACAGGTTCCTGTGCACGCACGTGCAAGAGCAAGCACACACGGGAGGGTTTTGAGACATCTCCGTACGTGTGAGATTTTCTGTGCAGAGCAGACAACACAAGACCCATCACTGCAATGCAAGGCCACTCTGAGAAGGAAGAAAATAAGGAACCTTTGGGAGAAGAGAGGAGAGGAGGGTGTCTGCACACGCACAAGTACTCTAATGAAATCAGCGGGCTGATGATTGTTAGGGGTGCAGGGCCTATCCGATTGTGTTGCAGGTTCCTGTGCATTTCCACCTCCGACCCACAGCCCACACAGCCAACCCAGCCACCACCACAGACACCACAGCCCACCCAGCCCACACAGCCCACACAGCCCACACAGCCCACACAGCCCACACAGCCCACACAGGGAAGAATAGAAATGTGATTGCCAGCATGTGCTGTTGGAGCAGATAATCTCACGCACGCACATGTGAGTCAATCGAATCGGATCGTAGAGTGGGCTAAGACACCAGCTCAGCACACCAGTTCAGCACACCAGCTCAGCACCCCAGCTCAGCACACCAGCTCAGCACCCCTCTTCGCGGCGGTTGTGCCGAGGCAGTGTGAGTGCGGGGGGAGATTGCACTGGGGGGGGGGCTATTGCAGAGGCAGGTCGCAGAGAGTTCTTAGTCGAAAATAGCAGAGGTAGGCCGCAGGCAACACAAGAAGTCCTGCAACTGCGCAAGCATTCCTTCTCTGCAACAGCATGTGCCATGATAGCACTTCCTTGCAACACAACACACCACGTGCTGCCAGACACTTCTTCTCAGCGAGGTGACTTGCTGGAAGCAAGCAAGTACTTTATGTTAGGGTAACATCGCATCCTATGGCACGTCCTTTGGTGCATGCATGCATCCTATCTCTCTCACAGATATCTAAGGTTAGTAAGGGCAGACACGCCCTCCACCTTATCCACATTGTTGCTATCAAAGTCCCTGCACGACAGGGGACGAGATGAGATGGAACAAATGCAGGAGCGCAGAGGCTGGATTTGGGTGTAGTGAACAGGGAAGAGGTAAGCAGGTGCAGAGAGTGTGTGGAGAGTGGGTGAAGCATGTGTGAAGCATGTGTGGAGTGTGTGTGGAGCGTGTGTGGAGTGTGTGTGAAGCATGTGTGGAGTGTGTGTGGAGCGTGTGTGGAGTGTGTGTGGAGCGTGTGTGGAGCGTGTGAGGAGTGTGTGAGCAGCACGTACAGGACTAGTAGTGGTAACAGGTTGCTTATGCCTGGTGACAGCGGAGCTTTGATGAGGTTGTGACTCATGTTCCTGCCACCACAGCCCAGCCCGCCACAGCCCAGCACAGCCCCGCAGCCTACATGGTCCTCTATCTAGGAGGCATGCCGTGTCAGTCAGCCATGTCTAGGAGGCTTGCTGCTGGCATGCACGGAGGCATGTGGCGAGCGCACGCACCCAGGCACCCTCACAGGTACATGCGAGCAGCAGCGCAGCGTGCGCGAAGCAGCGAGGGCCGTTAAGGGTGGCGCTGTTTCGCAAAGAAGGTGTGGGTGCAGTGCAGTGCAGGGTGGGTACATGCATACAGGTAGGTGAGAGCAGTGAGGGTCATGACAACATCGATGGGCTGCTCCAAATAGTTGTTGCTCACATCCCTGCCAGAGGAGCATGGCAGTGGGTGGGAGGGTGGGCGGGTGGGTGGGTACGTGCATGGGCAATCATGCTAACATGCAGGATTGTGTGCATAGTACCACGTTGCAGCTCTTTGCATTTAGTGTTTTGTGCTTTTACAAGCAAGAGAAAGAAATAAAGAAAGGAAGAGGAGGAGGAAGAAGAAAAGCTTTGGAGGAAAAACGCTCCAGAAGAGATGGGAAGGGCATTGCATGTGTGTCCGTCCATACAGTGACTCCAGCAGAGAGAGGCTGCTGAATGACTCTGGGATGGAGCTCGTGAGAGAGTTGCCTACCATGCTCCTGCACATGCACTCACACACACACGACAGCCAGCCATACAACAAAACCAGTAAATACAGCAAGCAGCAGCAGCAGAAGCATCAACAGCAGCAGCAGCAGCAGCAACAGCAGAAGATAGCCATGCCTTTAGAGGGTATTCAAACTCAACTCCACACGTCACGCCTCTGCCTTTGGATGTGGCCCATTAAGTGTGCCGATATGGGGATAGGCATGCACATGGCGACATGGGCATGGGCGTGGGCATGAGCACGGGCATGGGCATGCGCATGGGCATCGCCCGCACAAACGGGGAGGATGCAGAGAGGGGAAAGCGGCAACAGGAGGGAGGAGGTTCACTCACAGGTAGGTCAGGGTAGTGATATTGGCTAAGTCTGCAGGTATGGTGGCCGCTCTGTTAGTGGATAATCCATCCAGCTGCCTGTTTCTCACTCCAGCATGGATGGATGGTTGGTTGGTTGGGGGTGGAGGAGAGCAATAGCATGAGGGGACGTTGAGAGAGAGGAGGGAAGGAAGTGGAGTGCAATAGTTTTCAGGGCAAAAGGGTGCAGGCTTGACATGGTCACCTGGTGTTTTGCATGGCAGTGGCATAGCGATAGCACGGCACTGACTTGGATGGAACTTACACAATGCTGACTTGGCACCGACATGGGGTGAAGTGCGCAGAGGGTTCGGTGCTTACATGGAGACCACTTCCCCCTGGTCGTTGCACAGGAGAATATCCGGGGCGGTTTCGCATGTGATCGATGCAAGGTTGTCGTTGGCCCATCCTGACGCCAACGCTCCCAACACCTCCTCTGCACCCCGTGGCGTAGCATGGCATGGCATGGGGTGGGGTGGGGTGGGGTGGGGTGGGGTTGGGTGGCATGGCATGGCATGGCATGGGGGAATCGAAACCAAAATCACACACATGCTCGCGCACACATACACGAGAGCACGCACACGCACACACAAACACGCGTGCAGAAGCACGGCCACACACACATCACACACACACACACGCACATCACACACACACGCACGCACGCACGCGCGCGCGCGCATGCATAGACCACACCATAGACCATGAAAGAGCAGCACTACCACACGCCATAGACCACGCCTACTTCTTCCCTCACTCTCAGTACATTGGAGAAACGCGTTGCACAGCACCGCACGCACAGCACGGCACAGCACGGCACGGCACAGCACGGCACGGCACGGCACAGCACAGCACGGCACAGCACGGCTCCACAGAACAACGGACAGCTCATCACGGCACACCAAAGCAGAGCACAGCACACCAGAGCACGGCACGGCACAGCACAGTACCGCACGCACAACACATCACTATCACAGCGCGCCGGTACCTATCGGGCTGTTATTCTGCCCCGAGACACAGCGGCTGCCAGCCGCGAGGGCAACGAGCAGCAGCGCCGCCACGAGCGGCGCGCTGCCACGCAACCGTCGCGCCATCGCGACTGAACGTCGACACTCCAAGGCGCGGCGACGAGACGGGACGTCGAAATGATCGGAACCGCCCCTTTTCGCGGCGAATGCACCGGTTTAAAGCTGGAGCAGCTGCACTGGAGCTCGCCCGGCGAATGCGCGCTCCGAGTTTTTTAAAATTGAGGGATGGTTGTCCCCACCGCAATCGCCGGCACTGGACTGACTTGGGACGCGACTGAAATCCAAGATCTCGAGTTTCTCGACTGTCAGACCGAGGCACAGTTTGTACTAACTCTTAAATTGCTCCCGCCGTGCCGTTTTGCCCTCAAGGAACGGCGGCAGTAACGGACTTCAAACGCGCGTACTACAGTACTACACGGCTTTTGCGTATTCCACGTCGTTGCGGCGAACGGGGTGGCTCGAGCCTTGCAGATACTGTATACCGAGTCTGGTGTTACAAGTGAGTGATACAACAGATGCTGTCTCTTTTACCCTACACCTCCCCGCCCATCTTCCGCTTCGCAGATTCATGTCTGAAATTTCACCCCATTTTCCTCTGTAGGGTGGAGGGGACCTGGGAGGGTGGCGCGGGTGGGCCTGCATGTGCTCTTGTCTTCCCCCCAAGACTGAAGCCGCACATTTCCCTGCTCCCCCCTCTTTCCATTGCAGTATCGCGAACGAGACATAATTGCGGAGGACCTAGACTTAGGCCGTAACGCACCAGGGGGAAACGTACCAAACCTCTCCTTCCTGCGTCACATTCTCTCTACTCTAGTACGGGAAGCCTTTCCGACAGGGCTGCTGGGTTCTAGAATCTCGAGCACGACAGGGGGAAATGGAGTTCCGCAGCTTCCCCGAACCAATGCACTGCCGTCCGATAGGTCGGTGATCGGGTTCGTGCTGGGGGGGAGTTTCCATACCAAGCCACAACAAGACTCGCCAGCCAATCAAAGTGAGAAATGTTAGGCTTGTCAGACCTGCGAACGTGCTCGCAGAAGGAGAGAGGTCACAACAGCTCGCGATCCCTTTTTTCTTCGCTGTGGGGGGGTTCATTCGCAAACTGCTGGATGGAGGGCGAAGGATCAGGAGAGTTCGTATTCTCGTAACCACCGTCACACATGTTACTATACCCGCAATACAACCATGTGGGCGAGGACGGGGACGACGACCATACACGTGTACAGTGATTGAGAGCAGAGCACTAGAGGTGGTACATCCGATACTGGAAGAAATGATTGTAGAGGCTCGAACCCATAGAATGGGTTTTGCAGTAATTCGAATTCCTACTCTTATCGGGGATCACCTCAGGTACCCATTAGATTACTTGGCCCGAGCGCACGTAATGTGACACGAATTTGTCACGCAAGAAAAGGCCGCTCCCTGCATTTCGCGCTGCGAGTATCTGTGGAAATATCTTCCTGTCTGTCCCACCTTTCCTACTCTTCGATTGGGAGTCCCGTTCCCACCTTTCCTACTCTTCGATTGGGAGTCCCGTTTCAGTGTGTGCTGTATCAGTTCCATGTCTACTCCAGCAATCATCCCAAAATTCACCTCGCCGATATCACTTTCAGAATGATGCACACCCCGGGGTCACCCTCACGTGGTGACCCACAAGTTCCCCCTCTTCCCTTCAGGTTACCTCACGGCACAAGCTACGTCAGCAACAACCGCCAATCTTAGCTCCCGCCATCGGAGGAAACCGTCTGACCAATCGGGAGGGTTTCCAGTTCGTGAGGGTACCCCGAGGTTACCCCACCGTTGGCGGGAGTGGGATGGACGTTCTTTGGCGCTTCTTTGCTTCTCCCGAGGCTGAATACGTCCGAGATTTCCAAACCTGTGTTTTAGGGTTTCTCGATACACATGTAGTTCGTGACTTCATAACCACGATGGTTCCATTGTAATATACTGTTTTGCATTCTATTTTGTTCCATGTACAACGAAATAGGAAACAGGAGATAAACAAATAACGCAATGAACCTTTAGATGTAGGGTTCGATTAGGGTTGTCATCAGTGTGCAGTGTCCAACGAGTCGGCGTTAATATCTGGGTGTGTAGCGGGGGGAATACGCTAGCCTGTGAATACAACACACTTGGCAAAAGTCTAGCGTACCTAACTACTCTCCTTTCTCCAATGCGACCATACGCCTGCAATCATCAAGCGCACCGGTGGCCAGGGTATACATTTGAGGCTCTAGTTAAACACCCCCATGTCGCAGCCCCTCGGCCCACTTGTTCAACAACCAAGTTCTTGGTCGAGCAAACGACCTCACGATGTGCACAACACGCCTAAGGTGGGCTACCGGAACAATAACACATGCCTCGGCATCCCCTATTGCCTCCAGCTTCACACATCCCGTGATGTCGTCCATGTTAACAGGAATGGAGTGTTGGCCCCGCCCTCGCTTGGGCAACGCCGACTGTCAAACATTGTATGTGTTACATTTGTGTAGGCTATTGTGGGTTAGCCTCTAGGGGGTACAGAACTAGTTTTGACATACTTGTACTCACATTCTGCTGCTAGTCAATCATTCCTGTTTCATTCATTGTGACATGGTATCAGAGCAGGTCCTCCGCTAGGACCGAATTTTTAAAGGGCCCACCACACTGACTGCCTACTAGCGCCCTCGTGCGCCCCTCCTTAGCGGCCCCTTACGGCCCCGTCGACCCCTTAGCGGCCCCTCACGGCCCCGTCGACCCCGCGCGCCGCCCCTTAGCGGCCCCTTACGGCCCCGTCGACCCCGCGCGCGCCGCCTCTTAGCGGCCCCTCACGGCCCCGTCGACCCCGCGCGCCGCCCCTTAGCGGCCCCTTACGGCCCCGTCGACCCCGCACGCCGCCCCTTAGCGGCCCCTTACGGCCCCGTCGACCCCGCGCGCCGCCCCTTAGCGGCCCCTTATGGCCCCGTCGACCCCACGCGCCGCCCTTTAGCGGCCCCGTCGGCCCCGCGTTCGCCCCTTAGAGGCCCCGTCGGCCCCGCGTCCGCCCCCCTTAGAGGCCCCGTCGGCCCCGCCGGAACCGAGCCGCCCCACGAGCGACCGCCACGGCCCCGTCAGAACCGAGCCGCACGAACCGAGCCGCCCGAACCGAGCCGCCCGAACCGAGCCGCCTGCTTTTAGGGTTTTGCCTGCTGCTACTACTGCTACTGTTCCTGCTGTTGCTACGACACTACTGCTCTTACTGCAACTATGGCTAGCCCTGCTGTACTCGCTTTCGATGCTGAGGGCCGCCCACTGAAGTTTGACACCTGGCTAGATGACTTGCACCTGTTCCTCCAGCTCACTGCAAATGAGAACATCTCGCTGTACGATCACGCACTAGGCCTCGCTGCTGCCCCTACTGTTACTGCTGACAGTACTGCCCGCTCCCAGTGGCAGACTCGTGACGCCCACGCTCGCTTTGCTATTCGCAACTCCCTGCCGGTAGATGAGCGCGAGCACTTTGGCCAGCACAAAACTGCGTAGGCACTGTATACTGCTGTAGCTGCACGCTACTCCTCACCTGCCTCTGCTGCGCTAGGCCGTCTCTCGCTCCCCTACCTGTTCCCAGACCTGTCCGCTTTCGCCACAGTAGCTGACCTCACCACGCACCTCCGCACTAGTGAGGCTCGCTTCCGTGCAGCTATGCCCACTGAGTTTCTGGCCACCCACCCCCCCCCCCCGCTCTGGCTCACTCTCTACCACTTTGTCACCCGTCTCCCTGACTCTATTCGTTCGGTCAGGGACCACTTCCTCGCTCGCTGCCCCACTGAGCTCACCGTTGACCTGCTCGAGAAGGAACTGCTTGCAGCTGTGACTAGCATAGTCGCTGTAGCTGCCTCTCGTGGCGACCCCCGCACCCCGTTCTTCGAGGAGTGTTCCCCTTCCCCCCTTCTCCCCTCTGTCGCCTCTGCTGCTGCTGTCGACCTAGTTGGTACTGAGCAGGTCGGGACTGCGTCCGCTTCGAGCTGGCGCCGCAGCGGCAAGGGCAAAGGGGGCAAGGGAGGTGGAGGTGACGGCGGGGGAGGCGGTGGTGGGGGCGGTGGAGGCGGTGGGGGTGGTGGCGGGGCAGGAGGGGCTAGTGGCAGCGGTGGGGGTGGTGGCGGCAGCAGCGGAGGAGGTGGCCGGGGTGGGGGCGGTGGTGGGGGCGGCGGTGGACGAGGCGGCGGCAGGGGCGGTGGTGGTCGAGGTGGTGGCGGCGGAGGTGGTGGTCGTGGTGGCGCTGGAGGACAGCAGACTCTCTCTCCCCAGGAGCTTCGTGAGTGGTACTCTCAGCACGGGGGGGGGGGGGTGGCATTAGCTGCACGTACGTCATCCGCACTGGTGAGCGCACTGGCCAGACGTGTGGGAGGGCGCACACCACGCAGCGCTGCTTCTCCCGCCTCGACGACGCTTGGCGCACTCAGTTCCCTACTGCCACTGAGCAGCCCCGCTGGTGGGATCTGATGAAGAAGAACATTGATGTCTTTGCTCTTGACTTTGATGCTATTCTCACTGCCATGTATGCGTTGTCTACTAGTGGAGAGGGTGATCAGTACCTGCGTGTTCCGCCCGACCCGGGCATTCGCACCAGTGAGGCTGCCGCTCTAGGTGCCTACGTGTCTGCTGCCCCAGGTGCTGGTGAGGCTGCTGCGCTAGGTGCTTACGTGTCTGCTGCCGCAGGTGCTGGTGAGGCTTCTGCTCCAGGTGCTAGTGAGTCTGCGCCCCCTGGTACTGAGTCCACTGAGGCACTGCACACGTTCACTCTAGACTCAGGCGCTTCTCGCTGTTTCTTTCGTGACCGCACTGCCCTTGAGCAGCTTGCTCGGCCAGTTGCTGTCTCCCTTGCTGACCCCTCTGGGGGTCCGGTCATTGCGACCTCCTCCACTGTCCTTCCCTGTCCTGCGGTTCCGTCGGGCACTCTGTCAGGTCTCCACCTCCCCTCGTTCTCTACGAACTTGGTGGCGGGTTGTGCGCTCCAGGACGGGGGTGTCCACCAGTTCACCCCTGCCTACGAGCGCGTGACACACTGCACGTGTGCTCGGACGGGCCGTCACCTCGCTACCTTCACTAGG